AGGAAGCCTTATGAGCAGCTGGAAACAGTAGGGCCATACACAGTAGCTCCGGGGGGGACATTGGCCAAGTAAGTCTTCCTGTGTTTATGTGTGTAGGTGAAATGTCACAGTCAGTGTAAGCGGACGTGTGTGTGTGTGTGTGTGTGTGTGTGTGTGTGTGTATGTGTGCGTGTGTGTATGACCATGCATGTCTGGGTGCCCTGGTTAGGCAAACACCATGTCTGGCATTTGCATGGTCAGCCTTTGTGTCTCTGCTAATGGGTATGAAGATTTGTGTCCATCCTATATCTGTGCACCTCTTTGTATCCACCTGAAATCTGTTGAGCCTCAGGTCCACGTGCAAAGGTCTGTTGCTTTCTGAGGAAGGGGCAGTTCGGGGTATCTGGGTGAGTCAGTGACTCTGTCACCTGTCAAGGATGTCCCTGGGTTCCCAGGGATGCTGGTATGTGTAGATAATGTCTGTGTGTATTTATGTGCACACCTTCACATGTATGTGGACTTCCTATGTGTCTGAGGGTGTGTCCAGGCTGTGTGTAGAAGGGTGTGTTTCTCCTGCTGATATGTGATGTGTTTGGTAGTGTGTGGCATGAAGGGTCTATCTGCACGGGTCTGTATACTGCTTTCCATGTGGATCCACAGTGACTGTGCCCGGAGGCTGGCCTCTGGAAGAATATAGCATAAGTGAGTCACTGAATGTATACATCAGCCAGGCACGAATAGCTGCGGGTCTCTGGGCTTGAGCTCCGCATGAGCGTACATGTGTTTATGTGTGTCCAGGCCCTTGTAAAGCACTCTGAGCTTTGCGATCTCCTCAGCCACCTCATCTTCTCTCTGCTGGAGCTGCTCCCCCAGCCCCCAAGCCCTGCCCCTCAGCTAGAAGCTGTGACTCAGGGCAGGGACCAGGGGACATGGGACAGACTGGGTCCCTCCTATGCCTCTCAGGAGTTTTGCAGAACTGCCCAAGGCCTACCGCTCAGAAGACTCTGGATGACATCAGAGGAAGGGAGGAGAGAGGAAAGGGCCACGACTGGGCTGAAACAATGGACACGCACCTTCACAATCAAGAGGTCCATGACACACTGAACCCCCATTTTACAGAAGTGATCCCCCTAGAGGCACACCCCCACCTGCAGGCTTGGATATCAGCCTTTTGAGTTTTTGCTTTTGAGACCCAGTCTTAGCTTAAGCTGGCCTTGAACTCACTATGTTGCTGAGGATGGCCTTCAACTTCTGGCCCTTCTGCCTCTGCCTCCTGAATGCCAGGATTACAGGCATGTCTGGTTTCTGTGGGTCTAGAGATGGAACCCAAGGTTTTGTGCATGAGAGGCAAACACTCCCACACCTGAGCTTGCTCACCATTTGCTCCCTACAAATCTTAGCCTGGCACCTGGCCCACAGGATTCCTCTCACCAACCTCCATCCATGACCAGACATGTCAGTAGCAACCAAAAGCTCAATCATGCTGGCCACATGGCAGACGGAACAGGACCAAGATAGAACAGCAAAGTTGGAATGCTGGCTGTAAGGGAATCCTGGGGCCTCCACTTGTCCATCGCCAGTCAGTGAAGGTTTTCCTCTGGGCCCTTGTGAGCAGTATCTATCCCTCACAGTTGGAACCCTAGTAGGGTGCCTTGGCTCCCTGTTACCTATCTGTGCAGTGGGAAATATGATCATGCCTTCCTGTCCCCCCCTGAAGCAGCACCCAATGTATTAATACTCAAGGGCTAAGGAAACTCACTCCCCTGGCTCCTCCCAGTTCCTCCAAGAATGAACACACAGACATCCTGTCTGCTCATTGGCTCAGAATCGTAACAATTCCTCACGAGATACAAGGACTTCGCTTTACGAGATGTTTTCCTGACTGTTCACATCTCCCTGATTGCTGAAAACAATCCTTGGAGACTGTCCAGGCACACCCCACCATCTCCATTAGACAGATGAAAAAAAAAAAAAAAACAAAAGCAGCTCCGAGTGCCCGGCCACTTGCCCGTGACCACACAGTAAATGGTAGAATCAGGTCTCAAAGCCAGCTCTAGTACTGAGATACCCATGGCACATGGGTAACAGTTAGTGGTCACAGGTAATTTAGACCACTGGGGCTTTGAAAGTCAAACACAGTTTAACCTGGCTGAAGCCGTGTATCTCTGGGTCCTGAAAAGCCCAGCAGATAACCCTCAGGCACCTTGACCAGAAGGGGCCCCAGGTCAGACAGCTCTACTGTAACCATCATGGCTGTCTCCCTAGTTGCTCCCCAGTGATCACAACCACACTCAGGACCATTTACACAATGCTCCCGACAAACCCAACGCCTGTATCCACTCTCTGAAGAGTTCCAGGGATACCAAGCTCGCCACCTTCCCCGAAGAAGTGCTTTTTGTCTTCTCACTGGCAGAGGCTGTACCTCCCTCACCTGGGCCCCAGAACAAGACTTCAAGAGACGGGAGATATGCAGTCACCCGAGGGTCCTTCCTGGTTGACAGTTACCCCCACCCCGACATCCCCTAGCACACACACAAACTGGAAGGTGACCCTGAAAAGGGCCACCCAGAGTCCAGGGCGTTCCCTCCCACTCATATGGTCAGTCTGCAGTGGATATGCTGGGGACTTGGAGTCATCCTCCTTCTTACCCAGTTTCTACACCTCAGATGTAAAGAGGCTCAGAGAGGCAGGAAACACACAGGAGACTGATGCTCTCTTTCTCCCTGCCCTGGCTGCCTGGAGCAGTGTGGCTACCGCCCGAATGTGCGCAACAAGAGTCAGCGTGACTCCCTTCCTCGCCCAACACCTTCTCAACTTTCTTCAGCCCAGAATGTTCTACTTCAGCCTCTTATTCTGCTGGCTCCATCATCTCTCAGCTCCCGGCCTCCCTGAGACCCCAGCCTCACCTCCCTGTGCCCTTGGCAGTTAGCCATCTCACCCTGCTCACCAGCCACACTGTGTTTAGTCGACTATTGTTTAACTCTGGTCTCTCCAGAGGCTCTCCCTAGCTCAGTTACTCCCCCGAATCTGCACTATACTGCTAAGCTCTAAGCAAACAGTGAGTGAGTGAGTGAGTGAGTGAGTGAATGAATGAATGAATGGATTCAAGGTCAGGAGGAAGAGCCCAGCCTGCTCCCACAGAAGTCACAAACCAATTTGACAGATGCACAAGGTCTCTATCCTGCGAGCAGCAAGTGACATCAGGATAGAAATCTACAGCACCAAGTGCTCTGTAGCTACGTGCACATTTAAACTTTAAGGATGACCTGTGTGTAACTGTTTAATTCTTAAGATGAGAAAAACTCAGGTCCAATCATGGGAAGTAAGGTGCCCAAGATCACACAGTCAAGAAGCTACAGGTCCAGCAGTGGTCCAAAGCTTGTGCAGGAAGACTCAACTACAAATGGATGGTAGAAACTGAGGCTCAACCTGACCCGGAAATGGAATGTTCCCAGGTGGGTCCTGGTCTCTAGGAGAACCTAGGCTCAACCCGAAGGCCCCTGGGACCACCTTCCCATCTGCATACTCATGGGTGGTTTCAGATGGGGTTCAGGAGGTTCAGATCCACTTCCTGGGGGCACAGGAAGGGATCCAGGATAGGGGCAGGAAGAAACCAAATCAAGAACTACGAGTTACCCTCATTTGCTGGAGTCAGGTCCAGGTCTGGAGCAGCTCAGGTTGGGAACACAGGGAGCATCCAGGAGGCTGTCTCCATCCTCCCACCCTCCACAAACTGACCCAACCCCCGATTGTCAACACCGAGTGAAGCCTTTGTGAAGACTCATACTCCCATTTAACAGAAAAAGAATGGAAGCCTGGCCTGGGGGAGGTTCCGGCTAGGAACAGGTAGCAGATGACCATTTCTCAGATGGACCTGTGTTCTCTAGTGTGCAGGAGTTTACTGAGAACATGTGGGCCAGAGGACCCAAAGGAGAGCAAGAGGAACACCCCAACAGGCTAAGGAAGAAGAAACCCTTCTAGACAGTGGAACCAGGAGAGGCAGTTAAGTGCTGCAGGGCAGACATGTCATTAGAGTGCCGTCAACTCCATGGCTGCTGGCCAGGCCACTCTGGGTGTCGTGCCAGGCCATCAGCAGACAAGTGCAGACAACATTGCAGTCTCTTCTAGCAGTGGCAGTACAGCCCGTGAAGATGCCAGCTTCCCACACCAAGGTCAAGAAGCCAGGGCAGGGCTGTCCCCATAGTTGCCACCGTGTCAGGGGACAGGGAGCCAGAGCACGGGATGCACCTAGGTGCCCAGGCACAGCCCCTTTTTCTTCCCAGGCAGCTCTGCAGTCCCCCCCACACACAAAGGGAATACCCCTATCCAAGAGGGCAGCTTCCCTCCTCAGGCAGGCAGCACCGGCCATGTCTGCCCAAGCCTCCCTCAGAAGGGACAGAAGACAATATCCTGGGATTGAGGAAGTGGCCTCTGAACCAGTTCTCCCACGACATCATCCTCTCAGGCTGTGGGACCGTTAGACTGGGCGGAAGTGGACTCCAGCCAAGGGGATGTTCCCAGATGTCATGCTTTCAAACTGGTCCCGCCCCAAAAGGCAGGCGAGGACAGGCCTGCCGGGGAAGCCCTGGGTAAGGACTAAGGATGGTGTTCTGGCTCTCCTTGCCAGGGGATAGCCACGGTTACCCTGGCAGCCAGACACATCAATGTTGGCCCCAGAGAGGAGAGGCAAGGAAGGCCCGCTGACCCGGGGGCGGTGTCCGAGGCGGCTTAAAGCAGAGGTCAGCCGTGGCTGACTATCCCCCGCCCCTCGACACACCGAGCATCCTCCAAAGCAGTTTTACGGGGAGGGGGATGCACATTGGGGTCCTTTAGTCAGTATCTTATCCAAGATCCCCCTCAGGAGAAGAGTAGGAAAAGAAGGTGAGGAACTCTCTCCCTGCTTGTTCAGTGTTAAAGTGGCCGGCTGTGGCCTCAGGGCCTCAGGTCCTGGGGCTCTTGAGCCAGGATGGCAGATCCTCCTCCCCAAACCCTGCGACTCCCCTTCCCCTCTAGGTCCCCACCTTGAGATAGTCGTTCTCGGAACGCAGCTCTTCCAGCTCCCGCACCAAGCCGCCGGGCCCGCAGTCCAGCATCTCCTCGGTGAGGTCGGAGAAGGCGAGCGAGGCGCTGAGTGGCAGGCGGCTGCTGCCCACCGACGATGCTGCCCCCGACGGCTCATCCGGGGAGGCGGGCGGCCGCGGAGGCTGCTGCCCCGACGGTGCGGGTTGGGGCGGCTGCCCGGTGCGGGTCCCCGCCGGGCCACCCGCCGCAGACTCGGCGTCGCTGCTCAGCGCCAGCTCCAGGCCCAGCAGGCGCGCCTCCTCCGACGCGCAGTCCGACACCTCTGAGCTGCTGTCGGTGAGGCTGGGCGGCGGCGGCGGCGGGCGCGGCCCGGTACCCGGACGAGGGCGGCCCTTGGCGCGGACCCCCGTGCGCACCCCGGCCACCCGCGGCCCCGCGCCCCGGGCTCCAGGCGTCACCGTGCGCCCCTTCTTGTCCGGCCTCGCCGAGGACGCGGCGCCACAGGCTGCAGCGGCGCCCGGGCCTGTGCCGCGGCGGCCCTTGGCCAGAGACCAGCCGGCCACGTCCTTGGGCCGGGCTGGCGATGGCGCGCGGTGGCTCTTCTTCCTTTCCGTGGCGGGCGCGGGAGCAGGCGGGGGGCAGTAGCCCCGCGCCGATGACTCTCCCGCTGGCGCCTCCATCGCGGCCTCTCCGGGTCTCAGCGAGCGGCGCGCATGGCCCGGGAGCGGCCGGTCTGGGGGTCCCTGCGGCGGGTCCCGGATGCGCTCCCGCCGCTCAGGCCGCGACTGCGCTCCGGCCTCCTGCGTCCGGGGACTGCGCTCGGGCCCTGGCCCGCGCCGCGCGGCCTCTCCGCTACTTTGTGCTCGCAGCGCGCGGCCCGATCTCCTCCAGGCACCGCGACTCCGGCTCCGGCTCCGCCCGGTGCCCGCCCCCTCCGCCTCGCCGCGCCCTCGGAGCGAGCCCGGACCCCGGCTGCCGCCTGTTCGGCGATCGCCGCCTCGGACTCCCAGTCCGGCTGAGGCCAGGGCCCCGGCTCCGCCCGGCGCGGCCCGCCCCCCACGCAGCCCCGCCAGTTCCCCGCCCCGCCGCCTCGGCTCGGGGGCGCGCGGCTCGGCGAACAAAAGGCGGACGCGGCGGGAGCAGCGGGGAGGGACGCGGGCGGGGAGCGAGGGAGGGATCCGCGAGGCAACAGCGACCCCCTCGAGGGTCAGGCAGGCCTGGGCAGCCGCGGCCTCGGCTTGCTGCGGCAGCTCCCGGACACTGGCTGCTCCCGTGCGGGCTGGGGGATCGCACCCGGCCGTGGAGCCTGGGAGTCTGGCGTCGCCGTGGGGGCCTCGTCGATGGCAGGAGAGGATATTCCCCGGCAGAGGCCCCGCGGACCTCAAAGGGCCGGAGCCAGCATCCATGCACACCCAGCACCGCGCCGCGAGCCCCTTGCGGGTGCTGAGCCTGCGCGAACTCCGCCCCCTTTAGCTGGGCATGACAAACGACCCCATCGCCTAGAACGGTAAACTGAAGCATGACCCAGCACGCGGTCGGCTCTTGGTCAGCGGAGGAACCAGGATGGAGCCTCATGCCTGCCGAGTGTACTGGACTCCTCCTGCCTGACCGCTGTCATAGTGACCCCGCGTGCACACTGGACTCTGTATACACCCTGGCCGCCTGCGATCCCGAGCAGAGTCCTGTCTCCCCTACCCCAATTCCAAGGTCTTCGCGATTAAACTTCAGGCTGTGCCTTATGGATGCCTGGCCATCGGATGCTTGGAGGGAAGGGGCAGGTTCTGGGCCGGATGGAGGCTGGCATGGCCTGAAGACTGTGGCCTTGAATCCTACAGGGTCAGGTCGTCTCTACCCCTCAGACTCCAAGACCCCAGCCCTGGTAGGCGTGGTTTCTTTCCTTCCACCTACTCCAGTTAACAGAGTAGCTTCTCAGTCCCTCACACCTTCTTCACCTCTGCCCTCTCCTGCAGCCCTCACAGTGCCTGAGCCACAGGAAGTTCTTTGGCTGGCCCTGGGAAGACACTCACCCTCAGGGTGGCTGCCCAACAACCCCTTGCTACCCAGGAGAGTAGCGCATGCACGCAACACACACACACACACACACACACACACACACACACACACACACACACACACACACACCCTATGCAGCTTCATTTTCCTCCTCCTCCTCTAGTCCCTTTCCCCCCTCTCCTCCTTTCCCCCTTCTTTCTCCTCGCCCTCTTCCATTTCCTCGCCTCCCCTTATTCTTCCGCCCCTTCTCCTAACCTGATCTACAGCACAACAAGCTGGTATCAGGTCTACCCCTTTTTCTCCTACCCACCCTCCACACTGAAGTGCAAGCAGGTCCGCCAAAGCCCTGGGCGAGGGTGCTGGGCAGTGATTTGGGAACCCTAGGCCAGAGACCCAGAGTGTGTCATCTCACAGGCAGGCCTCAGTCCAGCCCTGGTCTGGTCTGATGTGCCCATGACAGGTCTATTAGCTTGATTGGCCCTACTCAGGCAGGCTTGTCACAGTGATACACGGACATTGTGCAGTTCTTGCAAACTGCTGCCCTCTCTCTGCTTCTGTTTCTGCTTCTGCAGCGCATGTGGGCTTTGAGGTATGAGAGGGTATGCGTGTCACCATCCTCGGCTGCTCCAAGCCCACAGCACTAATGCAGACCACGATGAATATTTCAGCAAAGGATCTCGGAATTCTCTCGCCCACACCACGGCCTCTCTCTCCAGAGGGGGTCTCGCCATGATGCCTAGGCTGGTCTGGAATTCACCGACTTTGGTAATCTTCAGCTTCCCAAACAGCCAGGAGCACAAGGGTCTGCCAACCCTTGTCTCAGAAAGGTTAAGGAACATCTCTCTGATCACATTTTCAAAAAAAAGAACCACGTAGATATATATTCCAATTGCCCCTTTATTACTATTATTAATGTGTGTGTGTCACACATGCATGTGCACACGCAGGTGCACACGTGCCACCACGGTGCACGTGTGAAGGTCAGAGGACAACTTTCAGGACTTGGTGCTCTCCATCCAACCAACTGCTCTTCTCACAGTGACATGGACCACCTCCAGCAGCCACAGGGCCTGCTTCCTGCCCTTCCGTCTGGGCAGAAGACCTCTGGGGCGTGGTCTCTCTCACTCCTGGGCTCTCTCTACTACTCTTGCTCTTCATTCATTCTTGGAAGCCAGTCATCAGGTGGAGAGGAAGTTTGGGTCTCGTGGGGTAGCCACGTGAAGGCACTCTAGTCTCCACTGGCCACCAGACCCGTGAGATGAGGAGGCTACAGATGCTCCACTGGTAATCTTGAGCCGCCCAGTGAGGCGTGGACAGAAATGAATTCTCTCGCCACCCTGCTCAAGCTGCAAAACAAAGCTCTGCAGGCACCAGCCCCCCCTTTTTATACACAGCAGTGGGTATAACCCAAATGCACAGCCAAGGTCATGCAGCTTGGAAATAACTTAGCTGGGGCTGTTTGACCAGAGGCTGCTCTATTCCAGGGCCCGGTACTAACTGGAGGAAGCATTCAATGATGGCTTTAGTGGCAGGTTGTAAGATATGAAGGGGGTGATGACCCAAACGTTCTCCCATTCAAGCTGCTAAATTGACCAACAGGATGGAAACTAAATGGAAGCTAACTCCTGGAAGGCTTCCAAGAGGAGGTATCTTTTTCTAACTAAAGTGAAGGTTGTCTTCATCCTACAAATCATGAAAGAAATAAGCCCCTGGCTGGAGGATGAGAGGGAAACCCACTTGAACAGGGTTCTCAGGGAGCCCTCTCTGAGGAGGTGGCCTGTATGCCGAGTTAGCCAAAGGATCTGGGGAGAGAATCTGGGGCAGATTGAAGAACCAGGGCAAAGTCCCTGGAGGAAGAGAAAGTGTGACAGATGCTCAGGGAGGGGTGGTTAGTGTGGCTGGAGCCCCCCGGGAGATAAAGACGAACAAGATAGCGTGGCAAGCAGGAAGCAGACGGGACATAGGCAGGGCATTATCTCCGATGCTGTGGCAAACATTAGAAACTGCAAGCAGGGAGTCACAGCGTCTAATCTATGTCCAGAAGTAGATCCCTGTGCTGACAAGAACAGATGCTGGCCAAGCTTAGGGGCCGATGAACATGACTCTGGGGGCTAAGGGAGCTCAGACGCATTAGAAGTCAGAGAAAGGATGTGTTCTGCTTTGGAGAACCAGCCACTCTTGGCTGGAAGTGAGGACTGAGAGAAGTGATGTCAAGTTCATCTCCCCATCACCTGCTTCAGAGGACAAATGACAGCACCATTTGCTTAAGCAGGAAAGACAAGCCTGCAGGTGTCAAAGGGTAAGAGAGCCTCAGTTCATAGGCCACAGTGGCTTTGGAGCATCTCTGGAGATGTCCAAATAGAGACCCAGAAAAGCATAGCACAGGCATGCAAAGCCAGGCCAGCAACAAGACGTGGAGTAGTCAAGAAAATATTCACCTTGAGGACTGGAGATGTTGCTCAGTTGGTAGCATGCTGGCCTAGCATGCACAAGGCATCACATAAAACCAGACATGGTGGTACATGCTTCTGTAATCCCAGAACTCAGAAGGTGAAGGCAAGAGGACCAGAATTTCAAGGTCATCATGGGCTACATAGTGTGTTTGAGGCCAGCCTGGGCTACAATGAGACCCTGTTAATAAAAAATTCACATTAAGGCTGGGCGGTGGTGGCGCACGCCTTTAATCCCAGCACTCGGGAGGCAGAGCCAGGTGGATCTCTGTGAGTTCGAGGCCAGCCTGGGCTACCAAGCGAGTCCCAGGAAAGGCGCAAAGCTACACAGAGAAACCCTGTCTCGAAAAACGAAAAAAAAAAAAAAATTCACATTAAAACTGGGTAAAGTTACTCAGGAAGAGAGTCTGGAAAGAGGAAAACTGGTCCAGAACCAGAAAGTTAAGCATTTCTGGTTCAAGAAAATAGTCAAGGGAGCTGAAGAGATGGTTCAGTGGTTAAGAGCACATGCTGTTCTTTCAGAGGACCTGGGTTTAATTCCCAGCACCCACATGGCAGCTCACAACTGTCTGTAACTCCTGTTCCAGGGGATCTGACAGCCTCACACAGACATACATGCAGGCAAAACACCAATGCACATAAAATTAAAAAAAAAAATAGTCAAAAGAAGAGAAAATGGGGACAAAAGAAGAGGAAGTGGTCCCTGCCAAAGTCAAGGAGCAGAGCAGGTTGAAAGGAGGCTGCTGGGCCTGGCAGGGTAGAGCTGTGAGGGCAGAGCCATAGGAAGTGGCCTGAGAGAGGACAGAGGTGGAGGCAGAGTGTAGGGAGAAGTGGCATGCTCATGGGGGACCCTGGGATCAGCAAGGAAGAGGAACAAGAGGCAGGAGAAGCAGCTGAGAGCCAGCTTGGCTTTGGAAAACAGCAGGGCCCACCCTCTGCCAGCCCTTAGGAAGGCAGAGGAGCAGAGGACGGATGCCAGGCGAGGGAGTGGAAGGTGGGCTGACCAGCGGGGATGTCAGCTGAGGGCGGGGAAGAGGGAGAGCATTGAGGAGGATGAAGTCTAGATGCAAAAGTGACCTCAGAAACTGGAGACTGACCTCGAAGTATGCCTGCAGGGCTGTGTCAGACGGGCTCACACTCACCTGAGGTTCGGAGACTAGCCAGGAGGCCCAGTGAACACAGGTGTGTTCCCTTCTGGTCATTTTCTCTTGGTTCTTTTCAACTTTTGTGTGTGTGTGTGTGTTGCTGAAATCATACTGAATTTTAGCTTCTGCTCTTATCAGAGTAGAGGAAACATTCCCCACACATTCCTGAACCCTCACAAGCCTGTTTTCATAATTAAAAATAATCCCCATGAGCGGGTGTTCCACGGACATTCACCTTCCCCCTCTATTGAATACTTAAACATCTCCTGGAGGTGCTAAGCACCTATGATTCCAACATTTAAGAGGTGAAGGCAGGAGCCGGGCGGTGGTGGTGCACGCCTTTAATTCCAGCACTCGGGAGACAGAGGCAGGTGGATCTCTGTGAGTTCCAGGCCAGCCTGGGCTACAGAGTGAGTTCCAGAACAGGCACAAAGCTACACAGAGAAAGCCTGTCTCGAAAAACCACACACACACACATAAAAAAAAAAAAAACCCACACACACACAAAAAAGAGGTGAAGGCAGGTGGACAAGGAGTTCGAGGCAGGAGCTGGAGAAATGGCTCACAAGCTCATGCAGAGGACCCAGGTTCAGTACCCTGTACTCGGTGATTCACAACTCTCTGGAACTCTAGTTCCAAGGGATCCGACACCCACTTCTGACCTCCTGGGCATCAGGCATGAACATGGTCAGGGTATAGACAGGCAAGCAAAACACTCACTCATGAAATAAAATACACCCCTCCCCCCCACCCCGGGCATACACACACACACACACACACACACACACACACACACACACACACACACACAAATCTCATTACATTAGGCATTACAGTGAATCCTAGGTCAGCCTTGGCCACGTAGCAAAACCCTCGCTCAAAAAATCAAAAATAATAGGACGCTTACCTGTTGTGCTAAGGCCCTGGGTTCAATTTCAGCACCATACATGACAAAAGTCATCCCTGGGGGTGAAGGTTGCGTTCTGAAAGGGGCTGTGCAAGGTCTGGTGGAGGAGAACGGTGAGGGGGGCTTCAAGGGGTCCGATGGGGGCATCTCTTAAGGGGCTGTAACCTGGCAAGGGATGTTCCTGTCAGATCACATACTGGACCTTCCAGACATGAGGACAGAGAACGGGACAGTCAGGCAAACCTCACTGCTCCGTCAGAGCGCTTGGTAGTCAGGTGCTGAATGTGGGAGGGACTGCAGAAGGCAGTGTGTGTGTGGGGGGGGGGGGCGGGTGTATTGGCGCACATCCTGAATCCCAGCACTGGGGAGGCAGAGGCTGCAGGATCTCTGGGTCAAGGTCAGCCTGGTCTACAAAGCTAGACCCAGGCCAGCCAGGACTACATAGTGAGAGCCTGTCTCAAAGAATTAAAATTTAAATTATTTTTCAAAAAAAGGTGGGCTGAAGGGAGGAGGAAGCGCCAGGCCTGTGACCCTGAGCTGTTTACAACTCAAACACACATTGCAACAGCCATGTTTGAGGTGACAACAGGCCCCTCACTTTCCTGTTTTCCCTATAATAGAAGTCCTTAGGCAGGCCGCACTTCCTGGAGGGAATGTTATCCTAGATCACTTGGCCTTGAGGCTCAAGTCACCTGATGGCCATCAGGACAGTCTTCTAGCTGTGTGGAGATGGACTGAACTACATGGCTTAGTGAGCTCATCTGCCCAGCATGCTTTGCAGGGCTTCCTGGCCTGGTGGGGTACTCACTTTGAAGGCCCTCCCAAGTCTGAGTCCTGTGCCTGAAAAATATAGCAGTTCTCACAGTCCTCCTGGGAGCCAAAGATAGGGAAGTTACCCCCACAGGCAGGGTGCTCACTGTGTGCCAGACACTGTGCTTCCTGTGAGAGACCTTGCCAAATGTACCCCAGGCCAATGAGGAAAGTCCTTATCCCACCTGGGAGGGAGCGGAGTTCAGACCTGGGATCCCTACAGCTTGGGGTGGTTCATGAGAACCCACAGTACGGCCCTCTCTTGTGTCAATTGTATATCACAGATTCTAACCTTATTGAGAGGACTGGCCTCCATGAGGGCATCAGGCAACAAATGGTATTCAGGAGCCAGTGAAAAGCAGGTTGGGGCACAAAGCCTGGTATATCTCCCCTCTTTTGGCTGATGGTAACAGCTAGGGACCTGGGGGGTCGATAAGGTCTTTTAGCATGTTTGTGGGATTTGAGTTTCTGATGTAGGGTAATCATTGGCACCTTCCCAGTTGGAACTGGCTTGGCATGGGGCCAGGACCCGCCACCTCGGGGCAGGTATAAGAAGCAGGGAGAAGGGTTGGAGCCGGGGCCAGGCAGAGGCACTAGTCACACACAGAGGACAGGAGTTGGGGCCAAAGTCGCTGTGTCCAGACAGCGGGATAGACAGATCATTCTGGGTGTGGCCTTCCCTCTGAGGGATCGGAAAGACCATCGGTGGACGAGCTGCAGGAGGGTCGGCAGGGATTGTGGGGTGAGTGCCTTCAGCCATGTCTTCCCTACCTTGCCTTTCCCCCACTGTTCCTCACCTCATGTGACTGAGGATCCCAAGTGGAGGACCAGTGGCCCCGTATCAGGGGTTGGACACTGGGTCTCCCCGAGAGGCAGGTCTAATAAATGCTGGCATTTATCCAACTGCATCCAATGTCAGGTGCTACGGGTTACCACACAGATTTGAGCACAGGAGAGGGAGGATGGAGGCTTAGCATCCTGATCCTTGGGTGTCATCTCCATTTCTTGAGAAATGCTAGTGCTTACAGATGAGGAGAGTGGGGTAACTTGCCCAAGGTTGCATAACCAGATAAGGAGTAAATCTCTCTCTCTTCCTTTCTCTCTCTTCCTCCCTCCCCATCTTTTTCCCCTCCCTCCCCCTCTCTCTTGTCTCCCTCTCCCCCTTTTCCCAGGTCCTTGTGCACACTGGGAGTGAGCTACCCTGGAGGGGAGGGGCCTGTGTTGGGTTAAGAGTGGATGTGTGTGGGGGGGTGTGATTGGCCACTACCACTGAGCTGTAGACAGTCTGGGCTCTTTTCCTCCCCTTCCCTTCCCCTCCTTCCCCTTCATTTCCTTTTCTTCTTTCTCTTCTCCTCCCTCCCCTCCCTCCCTCCCTCCTTCCCTCCCTCCTCTTCCTTCTCTTTCTCCCTCCCTTTCCCTTTCTTTCTCTTTATACCAGAGATCGGATCCAGAGCCTTGTGCATGCTAAATAAGCACCTGCTACTGAGCTACCTTTGGGCAAAACTACATCCTTCAAAGGCCGGTTCTTTTGGTCTGGGCATGCTCCTTCAGGCTTTAGCTACGGCGTGCTCTTTGGCTTTGAGAGGGACATGAATTATTGGCTGTCAGTCCTGGAAAGTCTTTTGAGGTTTCCTGTCCCAGGAGTGAAAGTGCTTACCATGCAAGCCTGAGGATCTGAGTTCAAATCTTGGAACCCACATAAAGGTGGAAGGAGAGAGTTGACTTCTAAGAGTTCCCCTCTGGCCTCCATGCATGTGCTTTGGTTGGTTCTTGCCTGCAGACACAGAATTTTTCCTTTCTTTCTTTCTTTCTTTTCTTTTCTTTTTTTTTTTTTTTTTTGAGATAGGGTCTCATTGTGTAGTCCTGGCTGACCTGAAACTCTATATGAAGACCAGGTTGGCCTTGAACTCACAGAACTCTACCTGCCTCTGCCTCTCGAGTGCTGGTATTAAGTGTGTGCACCACCACTCCTGGCTTACAATAATTTTTTAATGTTACATACTGAGTGATTAAGGCCTGGGGTGCAAATGATTTTTTTCTCAGTCATTCATGGAATTAGGGGTCCTGGATCCCTCGTCTGGACCTTAGATATCCTACAAAAGAATCAATGTGTCTAGGCCAGACTGTTAGAAGAAACTGAAGTGGCCAGAATTCACAGCTGGAATTTACTGTGTCAGGCTAACGTGGTAGAGGCTAACTGCCCATGAGGCCTTGAATGTCAGTCCAGTGGCTCACAGACCCACCCAGCGGCCACTTGGCGAGAGGGGGCAAAGGGCAGCTGGGTAGGCACGGAGCCAGTGGGGAGTGCCCAGGCACCTCCTCACTGCTGGCTTTACCCTCGCAGTGTTTCCTCTCTCAGGGCCGAGGACTGTCCCTTGTCCTGGGCTGTGACAGGAGAATGAAAGGCCGGAGATGGCGGTACACTCAGCTGGTAAGGGCTCAGCACAGGCCGCTGTGGGGTCACTTGGGAGGGGGATGAGATCTCTAGCAGGGAGGGGCATGGGCTAGGCTGGAGGGTGCGTGCGTGTGTGTGTGTGTGTGTGTGTGTGTGTGTGTGTGTGTGTGTGTGTGTGTTTACCCCTCTCAAGTCCTTCCCAGCTGGCTGGGGCTTTAAAGCAAGGGCTGATGGAGGACTTAGAGCAACCTTTAGTTGCCAAGACTCCCCCGACCCAAAGGGGATAGACCACTGTTGCTGACCCTTTGGGGGGACTATTTCAAGGTGAGGATCCCTCCAGGTCTGAGCCTGAGTAATGGAGGGGGTAAGGAGGGAGGATATCGGGCATTCCTTCCCAGATGGGAGTCTCCTTCTGTGATGAGCCTTATGTTACTGTGTACAGGCCTGCTCACATGTGTGAACACACACACTCAAACACACCATGGTAGAGTTTGGAGGCTCAATTAAATGAATGAGAATGACCACACTGGCAATCATGCCTACTGATACCCACGTGAATATATATAACCCCAGCTCACCCTCAAAGCACACTGACAGTCAACACACCAATCTGCCCTGTACACCTGCTCTCACCAATCTGCCCTGTACATCTGTTCTCACCAACCTGCCCACACACATACCTCTATTTCAAGCAACATACAACTCACGTGGGCGAACACACACTTTGCGGGGAGCTAGGTGTGACTGCACGAGTCTCTTCACTGACTGAATGTGAATCCCAGAGCTCCCTATACAATGTAGAAATCAGTGGTACCTTCTCAGGATACAGGGAGAATTCGAAGAGACCATTCACAGCATGCTCATCACACAGGCCTGCTCAGAGTTCGGGACCACACCAATATCAGCCATTCTTGTGATCAGTATTGTTGTAGTCACTATTTCACGTTCAAACACACACAACTGCAGCAGAACTAGACTCCTACCTACCCTTCTGCCCTCTTCCAGGCTCAGAGCGTGGAGCCTGGTGCTGCCCTGGGGCTAGAGCAAACTGGCAAGGGATGATGGTGCCCACCTGAGTGGCACTGTGAGTGCCTTTGCCCACCCCACTTCCTTTGCTAGCGGTAACCAGCCAGGAGGAAGCAGGCTGCAGGCAGGGACAGAGTTTTGCTTGTGGTGGGTGCTTCCCAGCTCTGCTGAGCTGGGCTTGCAGGGGTCTGGGCAGGGGCCAAGGCAGCCCTGGCTTTTGAGGGCAGGATATGGTGACAGCTGGCGCCCCTGCATCCTTCAATCCACCAAACTTCTTTGTATCTTTACAGCCCACCCAGGTGGAGGGCACCCTGTCTGGGGAAGAGGGCGAGGAGGAGGAAGAGGAGGAGGAGGAAGAGGAGGCAGTCCCAGCCCCAGCCCCTCAGGACCCCGTGGAGCCTCAGCTGACAGAAGCCAGCCAGGTCCTGGGTGCCTCAGAAATTAGGCAGGTTCGGGCACATTCTCTGGAGTAGGACTTCAGCCCTGGACCTCTTCCCTGTACCAGCCACACCCAGAGGCACTGGAGTCACAGCTTCAGTGTCACCTTGAATCAATCACACTTTCTCCCTGGGTTTCGCTGTCCTCTCTTGTCACACTGGGTAGATCTGGGGAAGGTAGCAAGGGTGACATAGATCCTGGGGACTAAAGCCAGAGCTGGGGTGGGGTAGACACATAAAGGAGTTCCAGGAGGAAGGGTTCAGCCTCTCTTCTATCCTCCAAGGACCAGTGACCAAGGTGAGTTCCCAGAGATCTGCCCTGGCTTAGAATGCTGTTTCTGCCATCTACTCTCCATTGCCCTGAACCTCGGTTTTCTCATCCACAAAATGGGAACAAAAACAGCTCTAAAGGCTATATCTAATGGGTGCAGAGCCTTTGAACAAAGTAAAAGGCTGAGGGGGGCGGGGAGATGGAGGCAATCCCGTCACACAGCTCTAGCTCTGCCTCCAGCTCAGTCTCCACCTACCCCCAAGAGTCACTGGCCACCCCTGGAGTCTGGTCTTCTGCACATCAAGGGACGGCTTTAGTCTTCGGAGACTATACCGGCAGATGGAGGGTCACAGTGGGCCAGTACTGCTGGTGTTGAGAGACCAGGATGGACAGGTGAGCTGGGACAGGGCATGGGGGCTCCCAGCCAGGCCAGTGGGTACTGCCCAGGGCGGAGTGAGATGCAAGGAGGTAGAGATGGCAGGCTATATCACCTGTGAGGTACACTGATGGCGGCACTCGGGCCTGTCCCACTTGGAGTCTTAGTTGCTCACTCATGTGTCTGAAGTCACTTTTGTGTGCCAGGTTAGGTGATGTGGAGAAGAGCAGAATCAAGCCAGAAATGGTCCAGCACACTTAGAGCTAATTTCTTGTGTGTGTAAGGGATGGGTGGTGGGGCACTGAGCAACTAACCACTGAGGCCATGCCAAACTACACCTTATGTTTGCAAGCACAAGACCATGGATGGATGGTTTTGATCTATTGTGAGACAGGGTCTCACTGACTAAAACACAAACTGGCTCCGAATCCTGTATGTTGCCTATGCTGACCTTGCACTCTAGATCTTCCTGCCTCAGTCTCCCCAGTACTAAGTACAGGCAGATGTCATCGCCTCTGGCTCTTACAGAAGTCAAGCAGACGATCTACATCTAAATGATGGATGCATATTTTGAAAATATCCCCAGCTGGTGGGGAAGAATGGATTGGAGGAAATCAGAGGGGACAGCCAAGGCAGTTCCTCCACGCCACAAGAGGAACTCTGACAGCTCTGCCTGAAGTCCATGTGGCCACTCTAACAATAGAATTTCTGGCAGGTTCTCCACGCAGAAGGTGGGTGGGATTGAAAGCTGGTTGCAAATGCTCCTCTATAGAAGGAACAGAGTTGGAAGATCTCAAGGGTCCCCACATAGACAGGAGTCTCTCTGGGAAGACTTTGTGCTTGAGAGCCAAGAAACTCACCCTGTTCAGAGCGAGCCCCTTCCGTGGCAGGGAACTATGTACTATGGGAAGTTTCTCCTAGCATTAGGTCTAAACCCTGCATCCCATGGCTCCCCTATGCAGCACTGTGAGGATTCGCACCCCAACCCCAGGAGCCATCCCTCAGAAGGAAGATGTCAACCAGACAAATAGCAGGCAGGCGAGAAGCAAGATGCAGAAGCGCAGCTATCAAGTGTGTTGTTTTCTCTTTAAAGCAGGGTGTGAGGCACATTCTTGAGATAATCGGGGACAATTGAGTACACAATGATACAAAGAGATAATACGAGGTATTGGGATTATATCGCTAGCAATTCCCGGAGTCTGCTTAATGATCAAAGGAATTTATTTATTTATTTATTTATTTATTTATTTATTTATTTATTTATTTATTTATTTTAATTTTTCGAGACAGGGTTTCTCTGTGTAGCTTTGCACCTCTCCTGGAACTCACTTGGTAGCCCAGGCTCAAAGGAATTTATTTGGGGGTTAACTCACAAGACAGAATAAAGGAATTTGTCGCAGGATCCTGGAAGGGTGAGGCATGGTCCAACACTGTTCTTAGCATCCAAAACCACAAGGTAGCGAAGAGAGAGCTGTGTACACGCATCCCAAGTCTTAACCCCCCCCCCCACGTGCGCCATGGCCACGCCTCAGGGGCATGTACCTCAAGATCATAGACAGATGTAACAGTTACCTGCTACCTCAAGAGGGGTGGTTCTTCAGGGCATGGCTCAAACAGCTCCCACTACAACCAGGATTATTGTTAGTTCTCTTAGGTGTGATAACAGCATGGGGGTCATAGAAGGGTAAGCCCCATTCTTGGAAGTTGTTGTGTTAGGAATGAAGGATCGTTGTAGCTGGAATTTTCCACAGCCGCTCAGACCCAAATAAACACACAGACTCTTATATTAATTAAAACTGTTTGGCCTAATGGCTCAGGCTTCTTGCTAGCTAGATCTTATCTTACATTTAAATTAACCCATAATTCTTATTTATGTTTAGCCACATGGCTTGGTACCTTTTCCCAGTTCTGCCTTCATATCTTGCTTCTCATGGCGGCAGCAGTGGCTGGCAGTGTCTCCTGACTCAGCCTTCCAGTTCCCAGAATTCTCCTCTCTGCTTATCCCACCTACACTATACTTCCTGTCTGGCCACTGGCCAATCAGCATTTTATTTATCAATCGGTCAGAGCAACACATTTCACAGCATACAGAAAGACATCCCCAGCAGATCATAGCGGTCAAGTGGGTCTGAGAAATGTAAAGAGAAAAAGCTAGCTGGGAACGAGAGCAAGCTCCCTGTTGGGTCGAAGCTGCAAGGAAGCTGTACTTGTTTTGAACTTTAAAAAGTAAACTTTTGGTGGTGCTGGGGTTGAGTCTAGGACCTTGCACATGCCAGGCCAGCACTCTACCAACGGACATACACCCCCGGCCCTGTGCTCTTCTGTACACTTGAAGTTGGTGCAGAAAAGCAAGAAGGAACGGTTTATGTGTGGGGTGTCAGTACGTCGGAAAGTCTGCGCACTGGCATTGGACAGGTGCCAAGAGGAAGTGACAGAAGTCATCTCGGGGAGGAAGAAGGAGATTTGACTGTGGCTTGTTTCATTTTCTTTCTGCTTGTGTATGATTGCCAGCTCTTCTAGAGGCATTACTCGTATGAAATAAGTATATTTGGGGCTGAGACGATGGTTCCGTCAGTAAAGTATTTGCCATGCAAGCATGAGGACCTGAGTTCAATTCCCAGCAGCCATGTAAAAAGCAGGGGTGGTAGGATGTGCCTGTAACCCCAGCACTGGGAGGCAGACACAGGAGGACCCTGGAACCTGCTGGTCAGCCAGTCTCATTGGTCAGTTCCAGATTTAGAGCCTGTCTCAAAAAATAACATGGAAGGCAATAGAGGAAGATAGTCCGTTCATAGTGGCCTCTAGCTTCTATATGCACGGGAACGTGTATGTGTGTGTGTGTGTACACCCACGCACACACATGAACATATTCACATTCATACAATACAGACACACAAAGTATATTTAAGAAAAGGTAGGCTGGCCATGGCACATGCCTGTAAAGGCTCTCATGGAATTAAGCTCTGGGTCAGCCTTGGTTGCACAGAAGGACCCTGAAGAGGGAAAGAGGAGAGGAAAGAGAGGGAGGGAGGGAGAGAGAAAGCAAGCGAGAGCAGAGAGTCAGGACACTTCAGGGGAGGCAGCCAGCAAGGGCTCTTCCTGTGGAGTGTGGGAAAGAGGGCAGGCTGGTGGCCTTGGAGACTCCCTATCCCCAGCTTTACACCCAGCTCCCCCGGAGCCCTGGAGGCTGAGTGCACACCTGCAAGTCTGGTGAAGGTGGCTGGTAGACTCCCAGCTCCTTTCTTGCACTGGTCTCTGTTTTCCAGATGTTTGGCGCCTTCTCCTCCTCAGCTATCCGACTCAGCAAAGGCTTCTACGGCACCGGCGAGACATTCCTCTTCTCATTCTCCCCACAGCTAAAGGTGAGGTTCCCACCTTCTGTCATGGAGGAAGGCTATGACAGGTCACAGCTCTGGGGATGCTAGCGGCTCCCAGCTTCTGACCCCATGCTGGGCTGCCTCCTGTCCACTTCTCCACAGGGCAATGGTGGGCATGGAAGTGCCCTTAGCTGCCCATCAAGATCTCCAGAAACCGTGAGCTGATTGAGCAAGGGAGGCATACTGTTCTGCACAGGCGGGAAAGGACAAGATAGGTTCTCGTGCAGGTAGACCTGAGGTGTGGGAGGAGGAGGATATGTCCAGTGGCTTCTTGTGAGGTATGCACATGAAGGCTGGAGGAGAGTGGAATCTTCTCTGCGTGAGAAGAGGAGCCCCAGAGAGCATGCCAGTCCGGTTGTGGCAGGAAGAGGCCATCTCTGCCCTGTCCTTTTCTCAGCAGGGTAAGGCTCTCCCTTGGCCAGGCTTGTACCAGAGCAGCCAGTGTTCTCAGACCCAGCTCTTGGCAGGCCCCATTCACAGGAAACAATGGGGGAAGGGCAGGACAGAGTGAAAGTACCAAGTGGCCCACAGAGCCTAGAGTGGGCCGGAGGCCAGCGAAGCCAGAGGGAATGAAGGGTGAACAAAGGAGGGGTCTCCTTGAGGGCAAATACTTGGAGCAGTGGCAAGAGCTGAGCCATGTGTAGGACAACAGGAAGGAGTGGGCAGATGGCGAGGGACATCCGAAATGAACTGGAGGGGCTCCGTGCACTCCTTGCTAAGGACAAGAGCCAGATGTGACCATGAAGACAGTGCCTGGAGACTGCAATTGAGGAAGAAATGGGCTGAGGAGACGGGCGGGTGGACCCACGAAGTTCACTAGGAAGCTGGTAAAGAATGGGGAGACTGACTTCAGTGCTCGGGTCCCCCAAGTGGAAAGAGATCAGTGACAGGCACAGGTGACTGGAACTTCAGAGGCCAGAAGCTGCTGAAGAGCTGGGGCTTTTGAAGGCGGGAGACAGAGTCCCAAACATCTTCCACATAAATATTCTCTGTCACTGGGTTGTTGGCTTAACTGAAGCTGCCGAGTGCTGCATGATAGGCAGAGCATGCAACATTTACCATAAATAGACATGATAGTAACTCACGGGTCTGCATTTATCACCTCACAAAATGGCACATGTAGTTATTGAAAAAAAAAAAAAAACCCACAGGTCACTGGGCAGTGGTGGTGCATGCCTTTAATCCCAGCACTCAGGAGGCAGAGGCAGGTGGATCTCTGTGAGTTCCAGGCTAGCCTGGTCTACAGAGAGAGCTCCAGGATAGTCAGGGCTACACAGAGAAACCCTGTCTCAGGGGTTAAAAAAAATCCCACATGTGCATGCTGTTATCATTGCCACATCTTACAGATGAGGGAACCGAGGCACGGAAAGGTTGGCTAACATGCCCAACTCAGTCGGTGGTGAAGGGAGATGTGGAAACCAGCCCCAGAGTGTGAATTCAGGCAGGGCACTCCGGAGGCAGAGGATGGGGGAAGAGTGCACATGCAGGAACCACCAATGCAGGAAGGGACCACAACAGTGGACTAGGTCAATGTGTAAGGTAGGACATGTATTGGCTTAGTGTGTCCTTGAGAGCTATTTGTTCACACTTGTTTGATGGATGAAGAACTAGTTCTGGATGCTTTTGTTTGCTATTAGAGGTCTCCCCTCCAATGCACAGACACCTGAAAACACTCTCTGCCACACCGTCATCTAATCTCACACCAAGATGGTCACCAGGGTGTGGATGGCCTTGCCAATGACAAAAATACCTGGTCTCGCTGGGTGGTGGTGGTGCACGCCTTTAATCCCAGCACTTGGGAGGCAGAGCCAGGTGAATATCTGTGAGTTTGAGGCCAGCCGGGTCTACAGAGTGAGTTCCAGGACAGGCTCCAAAGCTACACAGAGAAACCCCGTCTCGAAAAAACAAAACAAAACAAAAACCTAGTGTGTTGCACAGCCTCCATCACTGCAAGCCACCTTCCCTTCTTGGGAGAGAGGTAAAGGGGTCAGTTACGCAGGGTCACCAAGCCTGTAGGCTGATCGTCGCCACCTTCCTTCCTTCAGCACGTACTCCTGTTGGAGCCTCCTGCTAGTTCCTATCCTCAGAGCTGGGGATTCGGTCATCTTTGCTGACCACCCCTGCTTCCTCTGTGGCTTCTCTCATGCCATCCACACACTGATGGCTCTTCCCTGATCCCTTTCTAATAGTGGGTATTTATTTTTCCCATCACTTTGCCCCGGCTGGCCTAAGCTGGAGGGCAAACATACAGGCCCATGCCTGCCTCAGGGCCTTTGCATGTGCTATTCTACTCTGCACATCCTCCCATTGACTCGTCAGGACTGTCCGACTGTGCCCTGCCGTAGCCATCGCAGGGACGGACTACTTTATTTTAAATGACCATTCCCCGACAACTTTAGTGCCCCTCTGCCTGTCACTTCTCACTAGTGTTTCTAACATACCATTTCTTATTTCTTGATCTGTCTCCTCCTGAAATGTCATATGAAGCAGATGTTTTTGTTCATTATGTCCACTGTTCTACCCAATGCCTAGCTGTGCCTAGTATGTGAGTGCTAAAAAAATTATTACACGAACTCCATCATGTCCAAGGGATCACTGTCACCCCAGCCTGTAAGAATTCCATACATTGAAAAACTTAATCCTTGGCTGTGCCTGGCCTGGCACTCTTCATGAATTCCCAGTGCTTGCACACGTAACTGCTATCCAAGCAACACTACCAACTTTGTCTTAGTGTCTTCTGTAGCAATGTGTATCTTGCTCTTTTAAATTAGAAGGACATGTCCTTGGAGAAAGCAGAGGAAGTGCTGGGCAATCCTGGCTTCTTGAGGTCACTGTTCACTTTATCTCATCCCTTCTCAGCTTGCTTCTTTATCTTTTTCTATTCCTCCGGGGTCTGCTCTTAGCATTTGTGACATCTAATTACAGGAAGCAACATACTATACTTTTTTGGCCCTTTAAAAAGCCTTTTTATTGCCTAATTTGGCTCTTTGAATATTCACTTTCATTTCAGAGTCTAGAAGAACATCTGAGCAGTTCTCCTGGAATTTACATTGTAGTGGGGTAGACAGAGAAGACACACTACTACAGGAATGGAGTCGTCTCAGAGGGGTAGAGGCCTAGGAAAACAGAGACTCTCTGTAATGACAGTCTGTAGGGTAAGAAGAGACCCTTGAGGACGGAGTTGTGGGGAGCTGTGGTGGAGGGGTCTGAAAGTAGGAGGGCCCTAAGGCATGAGCACTTTCACATGCTGGTGAACAGAAAGGTCAGTGTGGCTCAGTCAGTAAGAGAAGGAGAGGGTATAAAGAAAAGGGATGGCGGCAGGTGCACTCTGGCTGGAGGACTGGATTCTGTCTCCTTCACAGTGGAGAATGTCAGAAGGCTTTAGGTAGAAGACTTAAAATGTGATTTAGGGTTGGGATGGGCCGGCCATTCAGGTCACTATGGAGAGAGCTGTGGGCAGTATATGATGATGGGAGGGTGGGGCAGAGAAGTCACAGGAGGTCATGGTGAGTCTTACTAGCCTGCAGGTCATGGGATAGGTTGGCTGGGAGACAGTTCCACCCAACTCCAGGCCTGGCCTTTCCCCCTCCTCTTTCCATCTTTGAAAGCAGGAAGCCTTGGAGGTTTTGTTTTACTGCTGGCATGAAGGTGACGTTAGGATGCAGGGGCTCCAAAGCAGAGGGCATAGGGGTGGAGCCCAAGGAAACTGAAATCTTACTCACTGGGCCCAGGAGCGTCTGGCCCCTGCACAACACTGCCACCACGTGGATTGGAGTCAGACCGCAAGGACAGCACTCCAACGTGACCCAGCCTTTCCTTTTCACCCAGGTCTTTAAGTGGACAGGAAACAACTCTTTCTTCGTGAAAGGAGATCTGGACTCACTGATGATGGGCAGTGGAAGGTGTGTGTCTGTCCCCCCCCCCCCCCCCCACGTCTTGGGATGGCTTGTTTTCCTCTTCTAAGGGTGTCGCAGGTGGAACCGGCAGGCTGAGTCTTTCAGGCTGACTTCAGTGCCCTCTAGCATCAGCCCCATGGCCCATCCCCAGAGGCCCACACTCAATCAACCCTCCTCTAGGTCAAGTGAGGAGAGTGGGCCAACTGGTTAGTGTCATCATGGTCTGCACTGACTCTGGGAATGTCCACAAGGATGAGGTTATAGTCACAAGATAGGAAAGGCCCAGATTTCTGAGTCCCATGGGAAATGGCTCATTATAAGACCTGCATCTAGCTAGGAACACAGCCTGCGTCTGTGGACAGGAGCGGGAGCGGGTTATGAACAAAAATGGAGGGTAGCCTCACCGTGTTGTGACTTCACACGGAAGCACATTAAGTTATACCTAAATGAAAACATTCCTCAATCAGCACAGCTGTGTGTGTGTGTGTGTGTGACTGAAGTTGACCTCAGGTGTGTTCCACAGTCCATCTCTCACTGACTGCCTAGATCGGCTGCCCGGCAAGCTCTGGCCCTCCCCCTCCCCCCACCCTCCACTCCCCACCCCCTCTTCACTCCCCCTGTACCAGGGCTGCAGAGGGAATGTGACCTGCCTGGCTTCTTATGTTGGTGCTGGGGGCAGGTCCTCACGCTTGTGTAGCAGACACTGTACCAACTGAGCCATCTTTACAGCCCATTTCCTCTTCTCTTTAGTGGCCAGTTTGGGCTGTGGTTGGATGGAGACTTGTACCACGGGGGAAGCTACCCCTGTGCTACCTTTAACAATGAAGTGCTGGCCCGGCAAGAGCAATTTTGCATCGAGGAGCTGGAGGCCTGGGTTCTGAGCTGACACCTCCCAGGACCAAGATGCTCGAGTCACTTTCGTATGCTGCCCAGGCCTTGCTCACACAGGGCAGCCATTCTGCCTGACTCAGGATGATGGAGAACCCTCATGTGGACTGTGGCTCTCAGCCAGCCTCCTAATGGCCCGAAAACCCAGGGCAGGGATGGGCAGCCCCTGTTCTGCAGCAGAGTTGACTGTGAAGGTGTGAAAGACACTCTTGCTGAAGAAGCATGAAATTTGTCTTTACAGGATTTGACAATTCCTAGAGAACCCAGAACAAGACCAACAAAACAAAACAAAAGACCCATAAAAACAACAAACAACTGCCTCCCCCAATAACATTTCCATATCCTTCCAAACAAGTCAGGTGTGTACACGAGCATACACACACACACACACACACACACACACACACACACACACACACACCCTTTTTTTTTTTCTTTTTCGAGACAGGGTTTCTCTGTGTAGTTTTGAAGCCTGTCCTGAATCTCACTCTGTAGACCAGGCTGGCCTCAAATTCACAGAGATCCGCCTGGCTCTGCCTCCTGAGTGCTGGGATTAAAGGTGTACACCACCACCGTCCGGCCACACTTCTTTTTGTATGTTTTAAAGACTTACTTGAAGAATGCTATCAAACCCCAGAAACCTGGGCTCAGCTACTAGAAACTAATAAAGAATGGAAGCATCATTTTACCCCTCCCTTGCTGTATCTTCTAGAAGCCAAAGGGTGGGGTTGGAGGCCACCAATGGGTCAGGTGCTTGCACATCTGTTACTTGATTTCATGGGAGACATAAAAACTGAAAATGAACAGTATGTATATTTGGCCAAAGGAGCTGAGCCTTTGCAGACCCCAGGGGCTTGAGAGAGGAAAGAGTTCATTTTCAGGCACAAGAGCCTTGTGAACTAAGGCTCTATCATCCGTTCCATGTAGGGTCTGTCTCCTGCTGGAAGGGAGCAAACTATATCCTGCTCTTATTTTATGAGGAAAACCGAGAACCTGGGACCTTGTCAATACCACTGTCTTTCAGACCCAACACAGTGTTGTGACACCATGAAGCATCTCCATGGGTCCTACAGAAAACACGTTGCTTTGCACAGGAATCCAAACCAGGCACACAAGGTGTGAGGAGACAGTAATTAAGGAGCATACCTCTATAGTTTCAAGAGAGAAATACATTCATGAAAGCTTCACTGCAGCTGTCTCCCTCACCCAACTGAAATCACCATCACTCAACCTGTGGTTCTATTTACATCGAGCTGACAGTGTTCAGTAACTTAGAGGCCAAGCTGTTAAAAATCTCCATTTTTATGTGATCTTGTAAATGACACAGGTACTCACAATGAAAATAGCTTCAAAGGCATAAAATAGAGCTGTCTTGTACATAAAGGGGGTCAGAGATGTTTCCCAGATACCACGGTACAAAATTAGGACTACAAAATTCCAGAATAAACCATAAGGAGTTAAAAATAAGAAACAAAACATAAAATAAACAACAGTAGCAGAAAATATACCATTCTTAACATTGAGTCTGGGCCCACGAAGGTGGGACCTCTGGCCGTCTCCCTGAATGTGAGAGGCCCGTGGCTAGCAGGGCAAGCTAGCACCTCCCTTGTGCATCTATGAGCCCAGAGAGGCAAACACACCAAATCCTCTTTCACTCACAAGTGGACAGAATAGAACCTGGCTACCCAGAGGGGAGAGCTGGCACAGGCAACCTGCTGGTGTCCTCGAGCTGCCCACTGCCAAGGCTGCCACCTCACTTAGGGGAGCGTCATGACTAAGATGTCATCTGCAGTTGCTGCTTCCGGTTACCACCCCCTTGGGCTCCAGCTAGACTGGGTTCTTGGTGAAGCTGTGCAGAGTGGGGGTGAGCGGAGCAGTACAGGTGAGCTCAACCATGGGCGGCTCTGCACTGCTGGGAACAGCAAGTGACATGGGGGAACCTGGGACCCACTGGGTGGTCACTAGGCTCACACACACAGTCCAGAATATTCTGAAACTCATAAACACAACGAAGCAGCGGTGGGGAAATGCCAGGTGAGAGCAGGCAGGACGGTGTCTGTGGTGTGTTCTGAGCAGCTGGCCAGGCCAACTCAGAAGAGGTGGAAGGGCTGTCCCCAGGCTGGCAGTGCTGAGTCCCTTGGGGCTGGAGTGGTTCCAGGTGCAAAGAAGCTGATCGTGTCTGGAGCCACATCAGACTCAGAGAGCAGCCTGGTGTGAGGTCCCCTCTGACCCTAGCACCCCCTACAGCAGGGACAGGAGGTTATACTAGGAGACAGGGGTGGAGCTGCCGGTCAGTGGTGGAGGACTTGCCTGGCACACCTCTGCTCCTCTCCACAAGAGCTGCCCCCTGATGCTTCCCCAGCCTGGCACTTAACAAGGCTGGAGGGGGCGGCGGCTTTCTCTCCTGGGAGGAGCAGGGTGAGGGGCACCTTTTCAGGGGGGCTAGGATTTTGTTTACTTTTTAACCATGTGGTACAGGACAATTTCAACTTTGAATTCCAATTTGTGCCCTTGTCTCAATTTCTAAATTAAAAACAAAAGACAATCATTTGTCCTAAGAGTTCAGAAGAGATGGGAGAGTTATCCTGAGAAAATAGGTTGCGAAAGGAAAAAAGCTTCAATTAATGTTAAAAATACACAAGCTAATGCTTTTCATAGTATGTGTCTTAGCCACTGTTCTATTGCTGTCGAGAGACACCATAGGCAACTCTTATAAAAGAAAGCAGTTAATTGGGGACTTGCTTACAGCTTTAGAGGTTTAGTCCACTATCATCATGGTGGAGAGCATGGAGCTGGAGCAGTAGCTGAGAGCTACATCCTGACCCATAGGCAGAGAAAGAGAGACTGGACCTGGCAAGGACTTTTGAAACCTCAAAGGCCACCCCCAGTGACACACTTTCTCCAACAAGGCCACACCTCCTGATCCTTGTAATCCTTTCAAACAGTGCCACTCCCTGGTGACTAAGCATTCAATTATATGAGCCTGTGGGGCCATTCTCATTCACACTCCACAGTAAGCAGAGCAAAAATGGGCTAATATTACCACTTTTCATTCTGAATAAAAGTAACTTACCCTTCGGCATGTGCGTACATTCAAAATACTAAATAAAAATCACTAGTGGACTCTGGTCACATATCCTAACTTAATTGTGAAGAGGGAAGAGGTTTATACAAAGAGCTGTTTTTTTTTGTTTGTTTTTTTTTTTTTTTTCCGTTTTTCGAGACAGGGTTTCTCTGTGTAGCTTTGTGCCTTTCCTGGAACTCACTTGGTAGCCCAGGCTGGCCTCGAACTCACAGCGATCCGCCTGGCTCTGCCTCCCGAGTGCTGGGATTAAAGGTGTGCGCTACCACCACCCGGCCCAAAGAGCTGTTTTTTGACTTCGTCTTTGGATGCTTTTTGGCGGCAATCTGGACGATTTTTATGCCATTTCAGAGGTGTTATAAGTGGGGCTATAATGTCACCATCCTATGAAAGAGAGAGAGAGAGTCAGGACATAGAAAAAAGCCAGTTTCCATCACTGTATTTTAGAGTGCAGTCTCAGGCACACATACCCTTACTTACACACACTTACTCCTGAGAAATTCTAAGTTGTATATGTTCTGGATTAAACCAGAACACCACAGTCCTAAGCAGGTAAAGGTCTTCATGGGAAAATGGCTGAGACACAGCACACTACAGCCCAGAACTGGCTGAGTTCACACACTACGTGGGATTCTTGGGGACCACAAGCTACACTGGATTCTTGCTTCTCTTTTTCCCAGTCTCTAAAACAAATGACCCAGGTCTGCAAATGGGGGAGAACAAAGAGGGGACAGGGAGGATGGGGACAGATGACGATGGGGACATTGGGACCACAATGACCTGACGGGGGTGGGGGAGCATGAGCAGCAAGGCCCTCTAACGGGGCCTGCCCCCTGGGATGAGGCTCTGCCCATTTGCTCCAGGTACTTATCACCCCTTCACGCCCCACTCAGAAGGCAGCCGCCCTCTCTCTTTGTTTTCTCTCTTCTCAGCGGCCTTTTCTAGCCCTCATGCCTAGTGGCTTCTCAGGTGAAGCGAAGGCGGCGGAGAAGCCCGGGATCTCCTCTGGTGTGGGTTTCAGGGGCCGTTACCATTCAGGTTCCAGCTCCTGGAAGGGGCCACAGCTCTTGACCTCCCACCTGCTCCCTCAGCCTCTCCTAGAAGGCAGTGACATCGTCCAGGCATCGTCTCACTGTGTGCCATTTGCTCTACCAAAGCTTTGGAAACACCCCATGTTAAATGTCTTCTGCTGAACACACTTGGTCGAGCTGGACAGAGCTTTTCAGCTGCTACTTGTTATCTGTTTTACTCTTTGGGGGGCCGCCACCCAGCTCCCAAATAAAACCCACTGGAGGCTTATTCTCACTTATAAACACCCAGCCTTGGCTTGACGTGTTTCTTGCCAGCTCTCCTAAACTTTAAGTTATCCCATCTGTCTTTTGCCTCTGGGCTTTTCCTTTTCTATTCCTGTGTACTTTTCTTTGTTTTTTAATCTGTTGCTGGTTGTGTAGCTGGGTGGCTGGCCCCTGGGGTCCTCCTCCTTCTCTGGCTACTTCTTTTTTTCCTTCCTCACTCCTCCATCTCTCTTCTTCTTCTGATTTCTCCTTTTATTTATTCTCTCCACCTGCCAGCCCCGCCTATCCTTTCTCCTGCCTCGCCATTGGCTGCCAGTTCTTTATTAGACCATCAGGTGTTCTAGACAGGCACAATAACACAGCTTCACAGAGTTAAACAAATGCAACATAAACAAAAGTAACACACCTTAAAATAATATTCTACAACAACTACTGTTCATCTCAAGGGCAGCAGTATTTGTAAAACTATTTCCATCACACTTCCTTCTGATTTCAGCTCTAGCAATTGTTAAAAATGCAAACTTAAAAGATTTGCCTCACTCCAATTCAATGGCCCCAGACTGCCCCTCCAGACCAGATGGCAGACAGTATCTCACACTCAATGCTGTTCCTGAAAGGCCTTGTGTTCTTTGTTACCTTTTCAGCTACCTCCATGTTGTTCTGTCTCAACACCAGCCCTGCTGCTGGCCCTGTCAAGAGTCTTCTCCTCCTTAGGGGGTCGACTCGCAAGCTCTCCTGAGGCAGGCTTTTCTCATCTCACCAAGTCTGGCTAGATCTCCTTTCGCACCCCACAACACTCACTATGCTACACAATTGCTGTTTCCTTCTGCGCTCGTGGTCCACACCTAGAGTGAGACCCAGAGCACTAAGGAACTGTCTATCTTAGGTACTGCTTCTTCCCAGCACCTAACACAGGGCCCGACAAGAAACAAACCAAGCAAACTCGTCTGATGAGTTAATATACCTAGGCTTAAGGTACTCATCACATACACCAGTGTTTTTATTTCCCTTTCCTTTAAACAACAAAAAAAGTGTGTATATGTGTGTGTGCGGTGTGTGTGTATGTGTATTGTGTGTGATATGTGTGTTGTGTGAATGTATGTGGCACACATGTGTGTTGTGTGTGTATGTGTGTTGTGTGTGATAGATGTGTATTGTGCATATGTATGTGGTATGCATGGGTATGTGTGTGTGTAGTATATATGTATGTGTACGCATGCGTATTATGTGTGTGCAGGTGATGCGTATTGTGTGTATGCCAGTGATCTTGACTACGCGGCACATGTGGAAGCCAGAGGGTAACATTGGGTGCCTTCCTCAATCACTTCTCCACCTTTTTTTAGGATTTTCCCCTACATTTTTTATTTTATGTGTATGTATGTATGTCTATGCACCACTTGCATGTCTGGTACCCACGGAGACCAGAAGAGGGCATCAGATCCTCTGGAACTGGAGTTACAGCTGGTTGTGAGCCGCCATGGGGGTGCTGGGAATTGAGCCCGGGTCCTCTGGAAGAGTAGCCAGTGCACTTAACTGCTGAGCCATCTCTCCAGCCCCATATTGCTACAATTTAAATGAGAACTGTTCAGTGGATAAAAAGGATCACATTTGAATTTTCCTTAAAAATCAAAACTATGCCAGGCTCCAATGCTGCTGCCTACCTGTACTCCCCATCCTTGGGAGGTGAAGCAGGAGGGTCAGGAACTCAAGGCAATTCTCATCCACACAGCAAATCTGAGACCAACCCGAGCTACACAGGACCCTGTCTCACCCCAACTCTCAGGTTCCTTTCTTTTAATGTTTGAGGATATAAACAGAGTTGCCCACCTGTGGCTTGGTGAAGTCTCTGTCCGCACACCATTGAGTGAAATGTTGCCTAGCGGCATACAGGCTCTTCTTGTCTTTCTTCTTACAGTACACTCGAATCAGTTGCTCTGCAAATTTCTGTGGCAGAAGTTGTGACACCTTTTTTACAAAAAGAAAAGATCTTGCTTGAGTTCACACTTCTAGGAATGAGCTGCCTCCCATGGTCTGGGGTTCTATTTTTAATGTTGAGTTAAAAGCACCGAACTGCTTTTCTATTTTATCCCAATTACAATCCAAAGGGGAAAATAATTATGTACTGCAAAATGCCTCAGAATTTTAAGTTAATTACTAAAAGACTGAAAGATTTACAGGACATAACAATGTACAGACCACAGACTCTCATATAAGATATGCAGATAGGCACATTTAGCTTGTATAATTTCAATTGCCTGGCCCACTAGATTTTGTAACCGAAGCTTCAAACCAAACACTGCACTTTCAATGATGTTCAGGAAAGAGGAGACACTGGAAATTGGCTGTTACTATGCCTCTGTTTTGAGATAAAGTTTCATGATTATCACCCAGGCTTACCTTGAACTCAGGATCCCATGTCCTATGGTTATAGGTGTAGCTAGCAAAATATGCTTTATTTTGAAATTATTATTATTATTTTGGTGGATCAGGGATTCAACCCAAGACCCCACTGCATGCTAGGCAAATAGCTCACAACTGAGCTACATCCCTTTTTTATTTTGATTTTTCGAGACAGGGTTTCTCTGTGTAGCTTTGGAGTCTGTCCTGGAACTCACTTTGAAAACCAGACTGGCCTTGAACTCAGAGATTTGCCTGGCTCTGCCTCCCGAGTACTGGGATTAAAGGTGTGTGCTACCATCGCCTGGCTAAGTGAGCTACATCTCTAGCTCTCTGTCTCTTTCCTGTCTTCCTATTTTGAGAGACAGGGTCTCATTTGGTTGCCCAAGCTGGCCCTGAACTCACTTCATTGTACTGGCAGGTGTTGAACCTATGATCCTGCAGCTTCAGGCTCTTGGGATTAAAGGCCTGCAACACTATGTCCAGATATCCATTTATCTATTTATATCTATTTCTTTATTTTCTTTTTTTGAGAAAGGGTCTCACTATTGTTGCCCCGGGTGGCCTGGAACTTACTATATAAACCAGGCTGCCTCAGACTCACAAAGATCCACCTGACTCTGCGTCTGGAGTGTTGGGATTAAAGGTGTGTGCCACTGTGTCCAGCTTGATATAGATATTTAAAATTATTATTTTTCTTTATTTTGAGATAGAGTCTCATTCACCTCAGGCTGGCCTTTAACTCCTGATCTTCTGCATCTCCTTCGCTCCCCAAATGTGGGATTACAAGTGTGCATCAGCCCACCTGGCTTATGCTTTACTTCAAAAAATATTAGGTTTATTGATTTTATTTTATACGTGTGTGTGTTTTGTCTGCATGTATGCATACATACCATGTACATGCTAGGAATTAAACTGGTGTCCTCTGCAAGAGCTGTAAGTGTTCCCAATCACTGAGCCATCTCTCTTCCCCTGCCTTTTTTTTTTTTTTATTGAAAATAGATTTTTCTCTCATACAACACATCCTGACCAGTTTCCCCTCCCTCCACTCTTCCCAGCTTCCCCAACCTCCCCTTTCTCCTGGATGCACACCTACTCCATCTCCTATCAGAAAAGGGCAGGCCTCAAAGAGACAACTAAACATGACAAAACAAAATACGATGAGGCAAAAGCCCTCACACTGAACCTGGACAACCCAACAGGAGGGACGAGGCAACCCAGCAGGAGGAACAGTCCCGAGAGCAGGCAAAAGAGTCGGGGACACCCCCACTCCCACAGTAAGGAGTCCCACAAAACACCAAGCTAACAGCCATGACATATATGCAGAGGACTGCTGCACACCCCTGCAGGCCCCGCCGCACACCCCTGCGGGCCCCATGGCCACTGCTTCAGTCTCTGTGAGTCCCTGCTTAGATGATTCAGTGGGCCGTGTCTTCTTTTATCTCTTTAACAGTAGACACTGACTTTACAACCTGACTGGTATGCAAAATATAACTTGACTTTCAGACCTTAGAGTAGAATTCCCTACGTAGCCGGTTACCTGGTCCTTAGAGATCAAGACTGCGTGCTTTGTGTTACTTTTGCAATAGAAGTGAACGTGATCAACTGGGTTCTTGTCTTCCATCCCATAATCCATGTTGATAACCTTAATTAAAACAATAAGTAAATAAGCAATCACATAACAACCACAAGAACTGAATTCAGGATTGTCAGAATACCACAAGAAATGAACTGAGCCCTCTGGTGTTCAGAAGTAGGAATTTTATGAAGTTGTAACGTGTGGAGTAAAAACAACTCTGGTACATGACCACCTTTGGGGATTTGGTTTAGAAACTTGGGTGGAGAGGGAAGTATCTTTGAGTATTTAACTAAGTAGGGTATAAAGGCAATATCTACTATGTGATAACACTGGTAGAGAGTAGATAATCAACTTTTGTGTATGTATGGGCATGTCCAAGAGGAGGTCAGAGGTCAACTTTGGCTGTAATTCTTCAGGTGCCATGCACTTTTTTTCCCCGAGATAGGGTCTCTCACTGGCTTGGAGTCACTTAGGCTGTAGGCCAATGAGCCTCAGGGATCCAGCTGTCTTTGCCTCCCTAGCTCTGGCCTGACAAGTGTGTATCATCAGGGTGTGTGTGTGTGTGTGTGTGTGTGTGTGTGTGTGTGTGTTTAAGTGGGTTCTGCAGCTAGAACTCAGGTCCTTATGCCAGCATGGCTACTGGAAGTATGTGGCATGCTTGCTGGGGATAGCAACTTTATAAGTGAGCAGAAATTAAACCAGGTAGGAAGGAAAGGATTCCCAGGATATAAAAACTGCTCTGAAGCATAAGTCTGACACTGTCTGATGCCTTAGCCACACTGAAATCACTGACAATCTTGGTGAGAATTCTGCTCTCAGGGTGCAGGGTGAGGGGGGTTGGGGTGTGTGTGTGTGTGTGTGTGTGTGTGTGTGTGTGTGTGTGTGTGTGTGCTGGGGACTAAACTCAGGGACTAGAGAATGGTAGGTAAGTGCTCTACCACTGAGCCAAATTCTCAGCTCTAGATTCTATAACATTTTACATTTCAGGTTTCAGATTTTGGATAAGGGGCACTTTAACCTAAACCTGGAGAAAAACGTAAGAATTCAGAAGGCCTTTTCACGAGTTTGCCCCTGAAGGAGAGGAAAGGGAGCAAGATGAGTGTAGTGTGGTGGTTTTCTTCAGACAGAAGACTGTCTAACTGCTGCTAAGGAAAGTCTGAGGAAGAAGGGCAGAACTGGCACTGTAGGGCTCTACAGAAGAGGCGAGCACACAGTGGGCTCCAGAGCTGCAACGCCAAGCGTGGTGGTCACTAGCCACATGTGGCTTATTCTCTTCTTTTTTATTTATTAGGCAAGTATCACTATACCGTCCAGTTCAGGTGACCCTCCTGACTTTCTCAGTCTCTCATGTGGCTGGGAATACATTTACATCCCATCACCTCCAGCAATAACTTAAAATGTAAATTAATTAACACAGAATACAGAAAAATCATTTCTTGGACTTAGGAACCTCATTTAAAATGGCAGTAAAAAGATACAGGCCTTCCTGTGAGTGCAGGAGGTTCCACTGAGCAGTACTGCTGTAAATACAGCAGGAAGAGCACCCTCCTGAGAGTCTCTCGGGGTTTTTTTTTGGTTTATCAAGACAAGGTTTCTTTGTGTAGCCCTGGCTATCCTGGAACTTGTCCTGTGGTTCAGGCTGGCCTGGAACTCACAGAGATTCACCTGCCTCTGCCTCCCGAGGGCTGGGATTAAATGTGTGTGCCACCACACCTGGCCTGGTCTTTAATTAGGAGAAAGGTATTTCTCTACTCTAACTAAGGGAAGACAGCTACAGGTAGGAGGAAACTGCAGTTGGAGAGAGTACCCACGCCACGGCCTGAAAGTGCTGTGGTAAGATTTGGTTGTACTCTAATAAAATCTGCCTGGAGATCAGAGGACAGAGCCAGTTACTAGATTAAACACAGAGGTGAGGCAGCAGTGGCACACACCTTTAATCCCAGCACTCGGGAGGCAGAGATCCAGTCTGGTTCTCTGTGAGTTCAAAGCCACACTGGGCTACATGAGATCGATCCAGTCTAAGAGAGAAACAGAGCCAGGCAGTGGTGGCACACACCTTTAACCTCAGTATTTGGGAAGCACACACGCCATTAATCCCAGCACTAGGAAGGTTGAGACAGGAAGTGAAATGTCTGGGCAGAGAAAGGCGTATAAGGTGTGAGGAGACAGGAACTAGAGGCCCTTTTGGCTGAGGACTCAGAGGCATTCATTCAGTCAAAGGATTCATGGAGTTGGCAAGGTGAGAAGAGGCTGTGGCTTGTTCTTTTGTTTCTTTAATCTTTCAGCATTTACCCCAATATCTAGCTCTGGGTTTTTATTATAAGACCATTTAGGATTTGTGCAACAAAGTATCTTTTATTTTTATTATCTGAACATGGGACCACATTGGGCTATTCACTCAGGGTGAAAGTCTAGGGTTGGTAAGCAGGGGTGAAGGGCTGAGTGGCGTAAAGATGGTTTGACATAGTTGCTATGGAGCCTGGGAGAATTGTACTCAAACTGCTAGAAAGCATGGAGGACCCATAAAGTTGGGGACCATGAATGCACAGTGTAGTGATGTCTCTAGCAGGATGTGTGTGGCCAGCTATAGGTAGGGAGGAGGTCAGCATCAACAAATCTAGGTTATTTGGACTTTTGCCAAACAGATGCAAAGGGTGAGGAGTTGGTGGTAACTGCAGAAATGAAGGAATTATTAATAATGTTCACAAAATCTAAGTTTGACTAAAAGAGAAACCAAGGTGAGGAGCCAATAGGCAGTGAGCTGAGCTAGGGACAAGTAAATGAAGAGAAAAGGGCTTTGTGGACAGAAAACAAGATGCTTATAAACTAGTGATTTCAGACAGGGTGGTTTCAAATGGTGATAAAGTCCAAGGTATAGCCAGATAAGGTGACTCTCACTTGTAACTCCGGCACCATTAGGAAAACTCAGTTCTAGGACAGCCTGGGCTACAGAGCAAAGTTTACAGAAGTCCAAAACATTATCTACTGGAGCAGTGGCTGAGGGGAACTGTGTACATCACCATTATGATTAGGTCAGCCTGGGCTACAGAGCAAGGCTTGTACAAGTCCAAAACATAACCCACTGGAGTGGTAGCTGAGAGGAACTGCGTATGTCACCATGACAATTAATTTTCCTTTTTTTCTCTTTTTTTTTTTGGTTTTTCAAGACAGGGTTTCTTTGTGTGTATTCCTGTCTGTCCTGGAACTCGCCCTAGACCAGGCTGGCTTCAGACTCACTTATCTGCCTGACTCTGCCTCCTGAGTGTTGGGATTAAAGGCCTGCACCACCACCGCCTGGCTTGTGATGGTTAATTTGGAATCACCCGGCAGATAACATCTGGGCATATCTGTGAGTGTTTCCAGAAAGGGTTAACTGAGGAGAGAACACCCACCCTGAATGTGGGCAGAGCACCCCATGGGAGAGAACACCTACCCTGAATGTGGGCAGCAGCACCCCATGGGCCAGGGTCCTGGACTGATTGAAAACGGAAGAGAGGAGCGGGGGGGCTGAATACTAGCATTGATCTGTGTCTGTTCCCTACTGTGAACACAGCCGCCTCACGGTCCCTTTGCCCTGCCCCAGGACCAAGATGAACTCAAACTAGGAACACAAAATAAACGTGTCCTGCCTTAAGTTACTTTGTACGTTTCCTCTTATCAATGAGAAAAGCAACTAACACTGCCACTAAGAATAAAAATAAAGAATAAAAATACAGCAGTCAAGAGCAGTAGCTGTTCTTCCAAAGGATCAGGTTCAATTCCCAGCACCCACATGGCAGTTCATAACTATCTAATTCCAGTTCCAGCCAGGGGATCTGGCATCCTCACACAGATATACATGCAGGCAAAACTCCAATGTACATAAAATAAATAAATAAAATCTTTAAAAAAAAAAAAGAAAGAAAGAAAAATAAAGAGATCCAAGAGTTTCTCCTTGTGGATTATCTCAGGATCATGGCGGAACCAGCGCAGAGGGGAAGACTGGACCGTGCCCAAAGCTTTCCACAGACAGCAGCTAGTTTGGACAAAGAGAAGATCTCTACAAATTCCTAGTGTGAAATTGATGAGTCAATTACAATTTCAGAATAAACTTCCAATTTGTTCTCTTGTACCGATTCACACTTCTGCATTTTCATGTAGATTTATTAACACAGAATTGTATAACACTCTTTGTTCTTGTATGGCTGATGTAAAACAGTCCGCTGTCACATCCCACTGACTTCACTTGATTACTGGTCTTTCATGTCTGCTACGGGTAGCATCAAGTACCTCAGACCTAAATGCATTTGGAGACAGTTGAGTGGCAGAAGTCAGACAGGAGGTGAGGGATTGCCCCCAGCCCTCAGAACAAGACAGGCCTTCTCATGAAGCAGAAGAGCCAGGGTGGGCACACTGGCACACAGGTGCCCAGGAAGAGTGCTGGGAAGTGATGTCTTTCTAAGTCTCGGGGAGTGCAGGAGAACCTTGCTCCTTGGGCCGCTCATTGTATTTGGCAAAGAATGGTTAGGGCCTTTCATGCAAGAATTTGTCAACAAGAAAACAAGAAAGGAAAAACTTAGCTAAAAACACAAAGTAAACACTCTGAGACTTCAGAGGAATGAACACTGAAGAGAATTTCCTACAGAGAATTGAAGAAAATACAAGAAGGCTTCAGGGCTTTTCATTAGGATACACCAAGACATTATGGCCATGTAAAAATAGGAACAAAAAAAAAAATCTTAATTGCTTTGTGTATATATGTAAGCAAGCAAAAATATCTAATTGTTAGTACTTTTATAGCCAAAATAATTTAAATCAACATATACAACATGCTATTTATCACATGATCTCAATATACTGGCAGAACATCACAAAGAAAATCTGAAAAGTGTCTGATAATGTTGATTTTCTCTGAGGCCACAGATGATTCTCTTCCTCCTAGCTTTCTGTGTGTCTCCAAGTTTTGGGTTTTTTTACATATATATTTTTAAAATTAAGTGCATGAATGTGTGTGAGTGTGTGTGCACATGAAGGTATTGTAGGAGGACACTGGATCCTGGGGCTGGAGTGACAGGTGGTTTTGAGTCACCTGACATGGGTGCTGGTAACTGACCTTCCTGGTCCTCTGGAAGAGCAGAAAGTCCTTAACTGCTGAGCCATCTCTCCAGCCTCTTCGTTGTTTTGTTTGTTTGTTTTGAGACAGGTTCTCACTATGTAGTACTGGTTAGCCTGGAGCTTACTATGTAGACCAGGCTGGCCTCCAATATGTTTCTTCTGCCTCTACTTCCTGAGTGCTGAGATTTCAGAAGTACATCACCACTTCCTACTCACCAAGTTTTCACAGTGAAGAAAGGGTTCTTCGTTTTGTTTTTTGAGATTGGGTCTTTCTACATAGTCCTGGTTTTTCTGGAACTTACTATGTAGACCAGGATGGACTTGAACTCATAGATCTGCCTGCCTCTGCCTCCTGAGTGCTGGGATTAAAGGCTGCCACTCTTGGAGGGAAGGCTTTTGGTGTTAAAACACAATTTTTCACTTAGCCTATTCTTAGGCTCACTACTTACATCCACTTCGAAATCTTCGGCCTTCAGCTGGGCTTCCAGCGGCACGTTAGGTTTGGCGTCAGCAATGTCTTGGGGAAGCTGTTTATAGTCTTCCTAGAAGAGAAGAGGCTTCCCAGTTAGGATCCAGTTTGTCATTAAGTACATGTACCGTGGTCATGTTCCTTCTTCACCAAGAAAAACAGAAATACCCCAACAAGACAGCTCCAATACATGCTAGCCTGGAAACAAACTGGGCAGTTTTCATTAAAAAACAAACAGACAGAAACAGCCATCACATTTTGGAAAGAATGTGGCATCCATCCATTCACAGCTACCTCCTGTTGCTTTTGCAGTGACTCCCGTTGCCAGCGGCCCATGTGATGGTATCTCACATCTCACCAGGAAGCTACATATAGTAGCAAGCTCATCTTTCCCAGTTCTTCTGGTTTTTTTGCCACATATAATACAAATAACACACAAAATCCACAGAGTTAACTGTTATGATGCTGGTAAGGTTCCCGGGCAATGACAGACTATTAGTGGTTACACTTCTGGAGAGTCCAAAGTGAAAGGCCAGTTTTTGACTGCACCGTGTCAAGTGCCCCTAACCATCACTGTTCAAGGGTCAACTATAGATAAAATGGGTTCTCAGAGCCTTAGTGAAGCTCACACGGGTCTTATTTTGAGGGATTTCCCCTTAGATTAATTTTCCAGTGCTTGGATCTATCTCAACCTTGAGGCCCTTATTGAATGTGAGAGCAAATATTTATAGGTGCTTAGATCTGCCTTTGAATCCTACCTGATGGCTTTCATGAATGATTTATTGATTAACACCCAGCATCAGTTTCCCATTTGGTAAACAGGCCTAACAACACTGCGAAGAATAAATGAGAATGTACAGGAAGCATGGTTACTGTGACAGATTAATGGCTTTTTCTTGAGGACAGAGATTGGGATAACCCTCCACTAACAGCAGGATACCTGATGACTCAACTTACCTTTTTAATCTTGTCTTGACCGTTTGGCTGGGTCTCACCCAAATACTTGTATAGATTACGGTTTTCGATGTTCCTTAAAATATTTCGTGCCTCAGACAACTTTGGATCAGTAGAATATAAAATCTCCAGAAAAATGTTATCTGTCAATGTGATGACATTTCATTCACATTAAAAGGACAGTAGGATTTAAAGACACTTCGCTGTGGTCCTAAGATGTTCTTAACAAGGCAGAGATTATGTTCGAGCTTAAAAAAAAAAGATGGCAATAAGGGAGGGAAAAAAGGCAAGGGCAGAGGTGGGAAGCCTCCCCTGTGGGAGAGGAACGGAGAGGGGACTAGAACTGACGGCTTGAGCTGGGCAGGCAGGACACAGAGACTTACTATTGTTTTTATTTTTGTAAATGAGACAAGGTTTTGCTAATTAGCCCTACACAGCCTTAAACATTTACAAACAAAATTATGTCTATAATCTACTTAAAATAAATAGCCCAATGTTTGTCAGAAGGAGGGAGATGGAAAGAATTGCTGTGCTGATTACAGCTGAAGCTAAGTGATGAGCACATGGAAGTTTGTCAAATGACTTAAGTAAAAGGTTTTTTCTTTTTAAATTTTTTGAGACAGGGTTTCTCTGTGTAGTTTTGGTACCTGTCCTGGATCTCACTCTGTACACCAGGCTGGTCTTGAACTCACAAAGATCTGCCTGGCTCTGCCTCCCGAGTGCTGGGATTAAAGACATGCACCACCACTGCCCGGCTTTTTTTTTTTTTCCTAAGTTTTAAAATATTTTATTCTATGATGATAACAGAAGGGGAAAAACTTTCTTCTTTTGTCTTTTTTCAATTTTCTTTACAAATTTTCTAATCAAAATAGCTTTCAACCAAATTCATTATTGTCATTTTTTTCATAAAAGAACTCTATTTATATACAATTTTCTTGCTTTTGTTTTTCTTTTTTGAGAGAAGGTCTCACTCTTAGGGTGGTTTGAGCTCACTATATAACTCAGGTTAGTCTCAAAAGTTGTGGTAATCCCCCTGCCTCATTCTCCTGCGTGTGAGCCACTGCAGCTGGCTATGTATATATGATTTTTTTATGGAACATTATATTATAGTATATACTTCCCAAGAACAAGAACACTTTTTAAAACATAAATAAAAGCACCAAGAAATTTAACAGTGATTTTTTTTTTAATTGCTTTACCTGTCTTGATAACGTAACTTAAGGATTTTCATTATGGGTAATAGGGATATCAAGCAAATATATGGATAAAATTAGTGGTCACACACTTTCAGTCTTTTAAAATCTAGAACTAGAACAACCACTCCATCTTCCAGGATGTTGACTGTTGTTGGTTGTTTTTTTATTCTTTGGGGGGCCTGCCACCCAGCTCCCAAATAAATACATGCGGGGCCTGCCACCCAGCTCCCAAATAAATACATGGAGGCTTTTTCTTACTTATGAATGCCTAGCCTTGGCTTGGCTTGTTTCTTGCCAGCTTTTCTTAACTTAAATTATCCCGTCACCCTTACGCCTCTGGTATTTTACTGTTCTCTTACTTCTGTAAATTTTACTTTCATTCTTACTCCATGGCTGGCTGAACAGCTAGGTGGCTGGCCCCTAACGTCCTCCTCTCCTTCCCTCACATCTTCCTTCTTTCAGATTTCTCCTTCTATTTATCCTCTCTGCCTCCCAGCCCTGTCTATCCTTTCTCCTGCCTCGTTATTGGCTGTTCAGCTCTTTATTAGACCATCAAGTGTTTTAGATAGGCACAGTAACACAGCTTCACAGAGTTAAACAAAAGTAACATACCTTAAAATAATATTCTACAAGAGTTGATCTTTAGAACAGATCAGGGAGCCATGGTGTATGCACTGCTGCCATGACCACTATGTTAAATCTGATCGGATTTCTCTATTATAAATTTTTTTGGGGATGTGGTTCTGTGGACTGGACCCAGGCCTCACGCCCGCTCCTGTCCACCATCAGCCCTTAATTACCAGCCTGATGGGTTTGAGACTGTACGCTGACCAACAACCTTTCAGCCACTGGTGCTCAGTGATGACAAGGTTTGTTTGGTTTGGATTTTTTTTTTAGTATTAATCGAGTTGTGCCAAGTATACAAGAGGTACTGTGACTCATTTAAGCATTACTTACACACTATGCCACTTTAAGAATCATTATTTTGTAATTTCACGTATGTATGTACTTTCTCCTCATTATCTTCTCTATCCCTGCAAAGGCAGCTTATATCTGACACAGACATGTGTGTCCTGGAGTTCTTACCTGTCAGCTTAGTGAAGGCTTCCATGTCATCAATGGCTGTAGAAATACGGAACTTTCCCCCGCCGGCCCCTGTAAACTCCATGTAGGGGTCTGCTTTGAGGAAAGCTTCTGTGATCCTAAAGACCATTTTAGAAACACACAAGGACATCTGAAGATTCGCTTTATACCTTGCTCAAAAGGATCTTTCTAGTTTAAGAAAACAAAATCTTGAGGTATGATGTTCAAAGACAACTGCTTGCCTATTTATTGATTGATTTATGGTTTTTCAAGACAGGGTTTCTCTGTGTAGCTTTGGAGCATGTCCTGGAACTTTCTTTGTAGACCAGGCTAGCCTTGAACGCACAGAGATCCGCCTGCCTCTGCCTCCCAAGTGCTGGGATTAAAGGCGTGCACCACCACTGCCCGGCAAGACAGCTGTTTATTAATATCCTTGTAATGACACATGACCTGTGCGTTGCATGCCTATGTTCCAGGCACTAGGGCAGAGCTTTACAGACCTTATCTCATTTAGTTTTTCTAATAATAAGCATATTCAGCTCCAATTTTATAGAAGCAGAAATAACATAACTTTCCTTTAAACAAGTTCAGAAGTATATTAAGCTTTGAACCAAAGTCTCTCTGACTCTGAACTGGAAACAAAACTACTTTAGTTCTTTTCTTTTCTTGAGACAAGGTCTCATGTACCTCAGGCTAGCTTCAAAGCTGCTACATACCTGAGAATGACCTTGAACTCTGTCTCCACCTCCCAAGTGCTGGCATGGCAGACATGTACTACCATATTCATTCAGCTTTAACCTTTTTTTTTTTTCTTTTTGTGACTGGGTTTTTCTACACAGCTCTGGCTGTCCTAGAACTCACTGTATAGACCAGGTTGGCCTTGAACTCAGAGATCCATCTGCCTTTGCCTTCCTAGTGTGGGATTAAAGGGGTGTGCTACCACACCTGGCTACATCTAACTTCTAACTGAGGTTAGACTCTTCAGGAACCAATGTGGTGGTTCATGCCTGATCCCAGCACCTGGGAGGTGGAAGCCAGAGAATCATGAATTTGAGGTCAACCTGGGCTATACAGTGAATTCCAGACCTGTCAGGGCTATCAGTATGAAATCCTGTCTCAAAAACAAAGAAAGGAAACTCCTTATGGGGTCTCTGAGACATGTACAGACTTTGTGCACTTTTTGGCTATAGCTCTGTCTGGATCAGGGAAAAAGATGAAATTCCTATTTGCTACTAACTTTGAAAAACATTTGACAGTCAGCACTCCAGAGGCAGAGGCAGGTGGATCTTTACAAGTTCGAGGCTAGCCTGGTCTACAGAGTGGGTTCCAGGACTGTTACACAGAAAAACCCTGTCTCAAAAAACAAACAAACAAAAACATTTGACAGGACAAAGGTAGAAATCAGTGTAAATATAATTTTGTTTGTCAGCTATTCATGTCTCACTACCTCCATGAATAATAGCTGTGTGTAACTTGATGCACAGGGACCCTGAGCCATTCTGGCAAACTCTTCATGTCTAGCCTAGGCCAGCTCTTCTTTCTCTATCTACCCTATCGCCACATCCACTTTCCTCCTCTTCCTCCTGCTAAATTTATAGTATGCTAGTCTTCTTTTAAGGGAGCCTTTTTAGATTGCACAGCTTGAGCTGGGAATGCTAATGTGGTAAAACATCACGTACACTTTTATAATGAGATAACACTTACATTATATCGATGAGGTTGCTGATTTTGTGTTGATAAGCCCTGCGGTGTAAGCAGTTACGTGTGTGGAACATGTCATACAGATTTCCAACCTCCTGCAAGGGAATAGAAATGGTAATGCAGGATCAGATTATGTTCACCTTTGTTGGAGACAGGGTCTCAACGCGTAGCCCTGGCTGTCCTGAAACTCATTATGTAGACCAGGATGGCCCTGAATTTACAGACATCCACCTGCCTCTGCCTCCTGAATTCTGGGATTAAAGGACCAGCATACATAAAGATTTTCCTATGGCATAATTCTATACCACCGCTTAAGTTATATGAGTGTCTCTGTGGTGGTATGAAATAAAAAAAATGTGTGTAGGGAGAGACCTTGAGAAAAGAGAGAAAGCAGACAGTGACAGAGCAGGGCAGCCTCTGCACGCATTCACACTGGTGTGCACAGCAAGCATGCACACACACACACACACACACACACACACACACACACGCGCGTGCGCACACAATCTAAAAAAAAAAATTCAAAAGAGAGAGAGAGAGAAGGAAGGAAGAAATGAGGGGAAACAAAAGAAAAGAAAGATGGCTCTGGATCTTTTCAAATTGCTGAGTGATTATTTCCAGATTTCAGACCAGGAGCTGCACTCTTATTTCCTGAGGATGTAACTTACCTTTTCTCTAGTACAAATGTGCTTCATCTTACAGCCAGCCTTGTCTTCCACTTCACAGATACGGGCAAACTTAACAAAGCGCTTGTAATCAAAATTATTTTGGATGCCAAGATGGTGACAGTCCCTAGGAAATTCCAAAGCAGAGATAGGAAACATTTCAACAAGGAAACTGTGTCTTAAATACAAAGACTACATTTCTTTTCTTTCTTTCTTTCTTTCTTTCTTTCTTTCTTTCTTCTTTCTTTCTTTCTTTCTTTCTTTCTTTCTTTCTCTCTCTCTCTCTCTCTCTCTCTCTCTCTCTCTCTCTCTCTCTCTCTCTCTTCTTTCTTTCTTTTTTTAAATTCTGAACCAGGCTTTGGATCCACCGGCTTGCAGAAGGCTGGTTGGCGACTGAAGAATGTACTGAAGGACACAAGGCGGTATAACTAGCTAAGTGAGTCAGTGGGAAGACTCCCTGGAAGAACGTGAGGGACCTGCTATAGAATAAAAACTGGAGCGCGATCACCAGGTGCAGTGTGTAGACAAAGGATTATGAATTGCACAAGCTAATAATAACAAGGCAGTTATGAAATAGCTAGGGAATTTTGAATCCTGACCATATATTAAGTAATACCTTAGGAGTGGTGGAGCACACCTATAATCTCAGCACTAGGGAGGCAGAGGCAGGAGGATCCCTGAGTTTGAGGCCAGCCTGGTCTACACAGTGAGTTCCAGGACAGCTAGGACTACAAAGTAATACCCTGTCTCAAAACAAAAAACAAACAAACAAAAAACCTTAAAACAATTGCAGAGTGTTTTTAGGTTTAACAGAGACACTTTATTTACAGATGCACACAGAAACATGACGAGATGCTATATTGCCCGAGATTTACTTTAAAATAATTTGAGGTCACTCAGGAGGCAGAGTTAAGCAGATCTCCATGAGCTTGAGGCCACACTGGTCTATATCGTCTCAAAAAAGTAATAAAATAATTCGAAGTGTAGAATAGACAAAATAAGATTGGTCATGTGAGGCATGCCTTCAATCCTGGTCATGGGAGGCAGAGGCTGGAGGATCTGTATGACTCTGAGGACAGCCTGGTCTTTGTAGCGATTTCCAGGCCAGCCAAGCTATATGGTAAGACCCAGTCTCAACAAACAAACAAGGGATTGAGTATGTTCTGACATTCACAACAACTTGAGGTATGAGCACCTGGAAGGTCCTTATGCTGTTCTCACTTATTATTAAAATCCTTCATTATATTTATTTATTTATTTATTTTAAAAGATTTATTTATTTATTATGTATACAGTGTTCTGCCTGCATGTATGCCTACAGGCCAGAAGAGGGCACCAGATCTCATTACAGATGGTTGTGAGCCACCATGTGGTTGCTGGGAATTGAACTCAGGACCTCTGGAAGAGCAGTCAGTGCTCTTAACCTCTGAGCCATCTCTCCAGCCCAAATCCTTCATTATATTTAAGAACAAAGCCTTGACTGTGAAGAAGTAAGCAGAGAGGAAAAAGAATTTTTCCCACTTCAAAATGAGACTGTCAGCCGGGCAGTGGTGGCGCACGCCTTTAATCCCAGCACTCGGGAGGCAGAGCCAGGCGGATCTCTGTGAGTTCGAGGCCAGCCTGGACTACCAAGTGAGTTCCAGGAAAGGCGCAAAGCTACACAGAGAAACCCTGTCTCGAAAAACCAAAAAAAAAAAAAAAAAAACAAAATGAGACTGTCTTCTACCTTGAACCAGCTCGGGAGCTAACCAGAGCCCAACCGGAAGCCCAGGGGAGTAATCGATTGTGATGCAGGACAAGGGGCAGGAAGGAACCCAGCACGCTCAGGGCAAGGGGAAGGCTGTTTCACTTCTTCCACAGTGGCCGCGAAGCTAGTGCTATAGCCATGCCAGGACTGTGGCGACCAACTTCTGATTAGCTGGGGAGGCCTTAATGCTACTTTATACAAAGAATTTAGCAACGTTTCTGAAAACATTCAGTGCATACCTGGCAAAATAATCCCATTTGTCCACATCGATGCCATTTCTCTTGTTAGCTACTATCTCATAAAGGAAGCTCTTCTTGGCAGGACGTCCTTTATACGGCCACTGGAAAACAAGAGAATTTCATCAAGGTTTTAGGTAGACACAGACCTATTTATAAGCAAAGCAACTGTATCGACCTGCAAATTACAAACAAGACACTGAAGTTAGAATGCTAATCCTTCTTTCTCCTTCTCACTTCTAATGAAGTACGAAGGGAAAGAAATGCTAAAGCATATGCTACCCTAGAAATACCAGGCCTCCCAGCTGGGGCTGTTGCTCTGTGGTCCAGTGCGTGCATGTGTGAGGGCCACAAAAATCAATGAATAAAGAAAAAGCCTATAAAGGGCTGGTGGGATGGCTTAGCAAGTAAAGGCTTTTGCTGCCAACCAGACTACCTGAATTCTATCCCTAGGACCCACAAGGTGGAGGGAGAGAACTGACTTCTGCAAAGTGTCCTGTGACTTCCACAAGTACACTGTGGTCCACAGGCAGGCGAATAGACAACTACTAAAAAATGTTCCTTAAATGATAAACCTTGAATTCATATATTAAAATAATAATGTCTTTCACTGATACGGTGACACGTACCTGTAACCTCAGCCCTTGGGAGGCTGAGGCAGGAGGATTGTGACTTCAAAGTCAGCATGGGCTACAGAACAAGACTCCCCCTGCTAGAGAAGAACAAAACAACCTCTCCCTCTGTGTACATATATGTATGTGTTATGTATGTAGAGACTACTATATTTCTCTTCCCTTTGTATTGTTGTTGGAGACAGGGTTTCTCTGGGTGGCCCTGGCTGTCCTGGAACTCACTCTGTAGACCAGGCTAGCCTCGAACTCAGAGATCTGCCTGACTCTGCCTTCTGAGAGCTGAGTGTGAAGGCGTGCACCACCACACCCTGCTCCCCCCCCCCCCCCCCCCCCCCCCCCCCCCCCCCCCCCCCCCGTCAGAGTCTCGTGTAACACAGACTCACCGTGCAGGAGAAAAAGACTTTTAACTTCTGTTCCTCCTGCTTCCACCTCTCTAGGGACAGACTTCAATAAGCATGTATCACCATACCTGTGTGTTATATGTTACTATATTTCAAAACAGCTACACAGCTACTCTAAATACTAACCACTTGAAGTGTTTTTGAAGCTAATTTTTTTAGAAATGAGATAGTTGCTCCTCAGTCTACCTCGTGTATGTGTGTATGTATGCATATGTATGTGTCTGTGTGTATACATGTGTGTACACATATACATAGAGACCAGAGGTTAATGCTGAATATCTTTTTCTGCCTCTCAGTGCTGAGGTTATAAGCCTGTGTCCAGCCATGCTTTTTTCTTGTTGTTGTTTTATTTTTTGTTTGTTTCTTGAGACAGGGTTTCTCTGTGTAACAGTCCTGGCTGTCCTGGAACTTGCTTTGTAGACCAGGCTGGCCTCGAATTCACTGAGATCTGCCTGTCTCTGTGAGTGCTGGGATTAAAGGTGTGTGCCACCACTACGAGGAGCTTTTTTTTTTTAAATTGTTGTTGTTGTGTGCTGTGGAACACTTTGTACACTATAAATATGTATTACTCTCATTGCTTAATAATAAAGAGCTGACTGGCCTATAGCTGGGCAGAAAGAGATTGGGCAGGACGGCCAGACTAGGAGGATGCTAGGAAGAAGTGAGGAGTCTAAGGGTCATGTCCGTGAGACACAGGAGAAGCAAGAGATGAACTTACCATGTTGAAAGAAGGCACCGCCACGTGGCAGAGGGTAGATAAGAAATATGGGTTAATTTAAGTATAAGAGCTAGCTAGTAACCCTCATAAGCTACTGGCCGAGCATTTATACTTAATAATAAGTCTCTGTGTTGTGATTTGGGAACTGGCTGGCCAGAAAGAAAAGTCCACCTACAGTTGTGTTGTTTTATTTGAGATAGAGTCCCACTGTATAGGGCTGGCTGGCCTGGAACTCTCTATGTAGACCATGTTGGCCTCTGCCCCTTGAGTGTTGGAATTGAAGGTGTGTGTTACTTAGCTTGCCTTTTTACGTGAGTGCTAGGGATCTGAACTCAGACACTCATGCTTACATAGCAAGTACCCTTACCTACTGAGACATCTCCAGCTCAGGATGTATACTTTTACATTTTGATCCTCTTGCTTCTGCATCCCAAGTACTGATGTTGCAGACATAAACTATTATTGGGGGAAATACTGTCTAAAGAACTCAAGATGAGGAAAAAAATATATATTTTGCATTAGAAGGCAGATGCATATAACATATATTTTGACAATTAGCATCCCTACAATAGCCAAATGTGTAGCTCTGAGAGAATCAAGAGTGGACTAGATGGAAAGTACCAGTTGACTCTAAGTAACATGAATAAAAACTTACCGAACAGTCTTTGACTGGAGTGTCAGGTGGTCCCATAATTTGTTCCTTGATAAAGTCAATATCTTCTTCAGGGATGAGACCATAGTTTTTCATGATAGGTTTAAGGTCATTAGAATCAACCAGATGCTGAAACATCTCAACTGAGCCCTGTTCATGCTGTGAAAAGTCAATATAACAGCCTGTTACAGATTCTCTAATTAAACAGATTATTCTGGATTCTAGGTAATTCTCAGGTGAAGTCCCATTGACAGTTGATTACTGAGTTTCCAACTACATTGCTACAGCTTTTAAATTAGTCAATTTTTGTCAATATTTTATTTGTCTACAAAACAGTTTCAGTTGGTTGGTTGGTTTTTTTAAGACTGTTTTTTTTAACCAGTCTCACTATATAGCACTGGTTGGCCAGGAACTTGTTCTGTAGACCAGGCTGGCCTTGCACTCACAGAGATCCACCTGTCTCTGCTTCCTGAGTGCGGGAATTAAAGGCGTGCCCCACCATGCCCAGTCACAAAACAATTTTTATTAGTTTTAAAAATGGGCTTACAAAGGGATGAGTTCCACTGTAGCATTTTCACATATACTTTAGTTTATTGATCCTCTTCCCCTAGTCTACAAAACTTTTATAAATCATGTTTATTATTGCATAAATAAATAGAATGAAAATATTTTATGAAATATAACCATTTATATTACCAAGAAGAATATTATCAGATCATACAGGTAGAATGAATATCACTCTAAAATTTAGGATTTTTTTCCATCCACAGAAGAACATCTGAAGTTAAAAGCTGTTGGTTGGTATTTCCACCTTGTGGTGGACAAGGGTATTGGCAACATTTGCCAGTAAAATCAAGTGTCTCCCAGCTCTGATGTCAGGATCTGAATTAAATTCTCAAATTGGACACCCGGTTGCTCATGTCTCTGCTCACTCTTTCATAATCACTATAAAGAGCAAATGACCCCCAGAGACATTGGCCCTATCGTACATCTTATCAAAACTGATTCAAAATGAAAATGAACCTGGAATGATCCTATAACTATTATGAATTGACTCAAGATATATTAATTACAAACAGAAAGATAGTAACTTTGTTATCTTGATTATTCACTGTCTGTTTTGAATAAAATAAAATAAAAACGTAACCCACGATGACCTAAACTCACTATATAGCCTGGACTGGCCTGAAACTTCCAATTGTCTCCTTGTGGCCTCTGGAATAATTACAAACACACTGCATGAATTCCCATAAACAATCACTGTTCAAGGTACAAAAAAACTATTATAGAATAATAGTAACAAAGAAAATGTGAAACATGGGGCTAGAGAAATGGCTCAGTGGTTAGGAAAACATGCTGTCCAAGCAGAGGACCTGGGTTTGGTACTCAGTACCAACACAGTGGCTCACAACCATCCATAACTGCAGCTCCAAGGAATCCAACGCCACCTTCTCACCTCTGTGGGTACCAGGCATGCATGTGATGCATATATATATATATATATATATATATATATATATATATGCATACAGGCAATGAACACATACAAAATAAAACTGTGAAATAGAATCTAGGAAGATTCATCATATATGGGAAATTTAAAAATGTTGATAACGCGTCAGAAAAGAAGTAACTGCTATTCAATAAACAGTTATCCATTAGGCTGGGGCTATCACTTAGAGGTAGAGTGTGTGCTTAGCATGCTTGACAACTTCAGTTCAACTCCCAAAACTGCAGAAAAATAAAACAAAATAAGTATCTCTACAAATAAAGAAAAGATCTTATATTTGTATTATTTGTGTATAAGAATTAATTCTGCCAGGTGGTGGTGGTACACACCTTTAACCTCAGCACTCAGGAGCCAGAGGCAGGCAGAGCTGTGAGTTCGAAGCCAGCCTGAGCTACAAAGTGAGTTTCAGGAAAGGCACCAAAGCTATGCAGATAAAACCTTTCTCGAAAAACAAAACAAAACAAAACAAAAAAAAGAATTAATTCCATATGAGCTAAAGTATTAAATGAAAAAGGCAAATATATTTTTAAAGGCTGGGGATATAGCTTAGTGGTATAGTACTTAGCATGTGTAAGCACAAACACACACACACAGCATATACACAGAGCACACACATATAGTACACACACCACACACACACAGAGTACACACACACAGCACATACAACATACACACAGACTCATAGCACACACACACATAGCACATGCACAAAACACACAAATACAACATACACACAGCACACACACACAGACTCACACACACAACACACAGCAGACAAACACAGCATACACACAGCACACACACACAGAAAGAAACACACACATAGACTCACACACACAGCACACAGCAGACAAACACAGCATACACACAGCACACAAACACAGCAAACACACACAGAGCAGACAGCATACACACAGCGTACACACACCGAGTAATGGCTGAGTAGCTCCTAGCTCCTGTTAGATCAATCCTTCTGGAGATAAAAAACTATACTCTGAACAACCAAGTTCCTGATTGTATTGGACACTGGCCAAAAGCAAGCAGATGTTAAGCGAAAGTCAACAGTAGGACGAGAGGGCAAAGAACTCACTTCCAATGTTCTGGCTTTCCTGCAGAAAGCAAGCCCCACAGCACTAAAACTGATAGGAAGCTATGCAATCTACTGGCTTCAAGGAGACCAGAAAATGTCTTCCTCAAAAGGCACCATTAAAACAAGAAGTGACAAGTCAAACACTAACAGGAAATATTCCTAATACATATAAAACTACACACACACACACACACACACACACACACACACACACATATATATATATAACAAATCAATACTAAGTGGGCAAACAAACAATAAAAGCTCTTTTGTATGTGTGTACCTGTGGAGACCGGACGATAACTTCAGCTATCATTCCTCAGGTGCTGTCCGCCTTATGGTTTTGGTCTAGGGTTTCCCACTGGTTCTGAATTCTCCAAGCAGGCTAGGCTGGCTGTACAGCGAACCCCAGGAACCTGCCTGACTCTGCCTCCTTACCACCAGGATTACAAACACACACCCTACACTTGCCTTTAACAAAGGTTCTAGGGGTCAAACTCAGGTGTTCAGCACCTTACAAATTATCTCCCGGGGTCACACTCCCCCTCCCGCCCACCTTTTTGCAGTGTTGAGAATCAAACCTAAAGACTCAGCTACTTGGCAAGTGACCTCCTCCCTCCTAAGCAGCCTCCTACCCCAACTTTTTAAATGGGTAAAACACTAGAGCAGTGTCTCAACCTGTGAGTCATAACCCTTTTGGGGGTCAAATAACCCTTTCATGGGGGTTGCCTAAGACCATTGGAAAACACAGATATTTGCATTACGATTCATAACAGTAGTAAAATTACAGTCATAAAGCAGCAATGAAAATAATTTTATGGTTGGGAGTCACAACCTGAGGAATTGTATTAAAGGGTCATAGCATTAGGAAGGTTGAGAACCAATGCATTAGAGGAACTCTTCACACACACACACACACACACACACACACACACACACACACACACAAAACCACAAAGTGCAAATAACAGGAAATCATATTTTCGATAGATTAAAGAATACTAATGAAACTGAGATACCATTCCACAGTCAGGTGAGCTAATCTAAAAGGTGAAGTATCAGGGCTGGGATGTAACATGATGATAGAGTGTTTGCCCAGCGTGTACAAGGCTCTGGGTTCTATCTTCAGCAGTATATAAAGAGAATAAATAAAAGTTAATTAATTTAATTAAAGATGATATGGTGAGGTTATAGACTGGCATCTGGAATTTTTACACACTGCTGGTGAGGGTGTAAAATGGAACAAACACACTGGAAAATCTGTAGGTTTTTATAATGTTAAATGAACACCTGCCATATGACGCTATAATTCTACTCTAAGGTACTTATTTAAGAGACATGAGAGCATATTTCCACAAAACTGTTATACAATGACACACACAGCAACCTTAGACGTAGTAGTCCACATTCAAAACAACCTAAATCTCATCAAAAGGAGAAAGGACAAAGTGTGGTTCATACACTAGGTACAGCCTTAGCAGGAAAAGGCCATCCGCGGCGTCCGACATGCGCGGATGAAGGAGCGCTCACTTCTGACTGTACTGACAGCACTGGGGATCAAACCTAAGGACTCGGCATCTCCCACTACGCAGCCGGCTAGCTCACTAATCAATCAACTGTTTAAATAGGTAAACCAGTAAGAGGAAGTCTAAACACACACACACTACAAAACCGCATCGTGCAAACAACAGGAAATCCTATTTGCAACAGAGTAGAGAATACAAATGAAACTGAGACACCAAGTCTAAGAAAAGACGGACTAATCTATGCTCATGAAAATCACAAGTAATGGCAGTGGCACATACTCCGTGTGTGTGGTGCTGTGGGTTTGATCCTCACCGCCACAGCAAAGAAAGGCAAGGCACAAGGGACATCTCCAAATGATAAAAATGTTCTAAATCCTGACAGCATGTGTGCACCTGTCAAACTCCCACCAGCTTTGAACAATTTAAGCGAGAACACGCCTTTAATCCCAGCACCTTTAATCCCAGCTCTAGGGAACTAAAAGCAGGCAATCTCTCAGTTTCAAGGTCGGCTTGGTCTACACAGTGAGACCCTGTCTCAAAACAAAAACAAAAACAATGCAATCAAAAATGCATAATGTATTGGATGTAAATTATATTTTTAAAAAAGGGCAGGCAGAGAAAAACGTGGTTTGACCTACAAGGAGCTTTCAGCTTATGTTAATGAGCTCTTCTCTAGTTGTTAGAAATACAGCGTGGTAGAAACCAGGAGGTCAACTTCATTTCTCAAAAACTGATTCAAAATGCACAAATTCATCACCTGCAAATGTGTAATTACAAAGGGTTCATTTAAAGCTAGAAGTGAGGGTATAACATACTCTCAGCGTTTGGGAGACTGGGGTAGGACAGCATTCAGTCATTCTCAATTATGTAAGAAAACTCTGTATTAAGAATACAAGATCGCCCTCAGCTCTGGAAAAAAAAAAAAAAAAGAATACAAGATCGCCAGGTGGTGGTGGTGCACGCCTTTAATTCCAGCACTGGGGAGGTAGAGGCAGGCAGATCTCTGTGAGTTTGAGGCCAGCCTGGTCTACAGAGTGAGATCCAGGACAGGCTCCAAAGCTACACAAAGAAACCCTGTCCCGAAAAATCAACAAGAACAAACAAAACACAAGTTCATTGACCAAAAGTGATGATACTTAACTTCATGGCTACACCAAAATAAAAACTGAAGTTGGACTTTAAAAATGATGATACTTAACTTCATGGCTACACCAAAATAAAAACTGAAGTTGGACTTTAAAAATAGAACTGTACATTAATGTGACAGAGTAGAAAGAACACTGTACTGACAAACGGGGAAGCTGGTTTTCTAGGGCTGGTCCACCACTCTATAGCTCTCTGACGTCAGGTCCCTCACTATGCTTCAGAGGGTTTCAAGTTCCTTTGACTGTGGATGGGAGAGAAGGGTTCTTTCTCCACAGACTATTGTGAGGATCGACTCAAACAGACACATGTAATGGAAGCACCCTGAACATTGTTCCAGGGAAGGATGCTAGAACATGGAGAGGAAAAACAGATTAATTCAATTGAATAACTAGATAAAATCCTATTTCTTTCTATTGACTACAGAACAGATGAATACATACCCTCCAATTTTTATCTGGGCGAGCACGTGGGATAAATCTTGAATCAAACATATGAGAAAATGGCCCATGACCTAAAAACAAAAGCAGCCTTCAAATAAGAAAAATATTTGTAAATTGCTAAAAACTTAATTCTTAAAATTTTTTTTTAATTTACTTTAAATATCAACAGCCACTGTTAATAATCTATAAATTAATCAAAAAAACAGAACAAATCTGCGCTTTCAATTTTCCAAAACAACAGAGTAAGATGCAAAACTACACTGGAAAGCTAGCCTTCCTTAGGTCAGTCTCCAGTTTGTATTAGCTACCAGGAATGCTGAGAGTTTTTTGTATTTAAAAAAAAAAAAAATCAAGGTTTACTTATTTAGGGCTGGGATGCAGCTCAGTAGGAGAGCACACGCAGGCCCTAGGCTTAGTCCAGTCACCAAAACCAAACCCTAAAAGCACACAAGGACCAGCTGTCTTCTAAGAAGGGTCACTGAGCCACTGAAATCCCTGGGCTGACAGAGGCAGCACTCTCCTCCTTCAGTATCTGTCCATGGAGACACAAGCACACACTCTCTCTTGTAAATAAAGAGGTTGGGGCAGTCACCTCTCTCTTATTTTAAATAAAAGGATGCTATTCTTCTACTTGAATTTAACTGGCCTAAGACCTCCCATGAGTCAGGGAAGAAAAAGTATTTCTTAAACCTGTTCTAGTTGTGAGAAGGGACGGATTTAACAAAGGAACTAAAGGAAAAAGTAATTTTAGTCAATGAGAATGATAAAAGAAAAATCACATTCCTATTATCCTCAAGACAGAATAAGAAAAACTCACTGTCAGACGGCCCTCTCAGCCAAGTGCATTGGCTCATGCTGGTAATCTCAGCACTCAGGAAGCAGAAGCAGGAGTATTGCCATAAGTTGGAGGCTAACCTGGGCTATATATAGTGAGTTCTAGACAGCTTGGTAAGAACCCCATCTCATAAATAAATATATAATAAAAAAATGAATAATGCCTTTCCTATGACATAGCAAAGACGCTTAACATGGAAAATTCATACGTTAAAACAATGTTTTGTCCTTATCAATAATATCAGGAACCATGGTGCACTGTGATTAATGAAAAATGACAACACTTCCACATCTCCCTTGGTTAGAGTTCTGAGTTCTGAATGTGAAGCAGAGGTGAGACAGTAGGATCTTACAGGAAGTGAGGGCTTTGCGGGAGCTTACCAAGGTCATGGCAGAGCCCGGCAATCTGAACGCAGAGCATGTCTCGCTCACTGATCTGCAGCTCTGGCTGTTTTTCAGCGAGTGCTCGAACAAGGCAGCCTGCTAGGTACCCAACCCTGCAGAGAAAAAGATCAAAAGTCACTCTTTGGTTTAAAAGATGTGCCTTTGGAACTTGAAACTTGAGTTCTGAGAGTTGGCTCTGTGATGTTCCACCACAGACTGAAGAAGATACGCGCTTAGCAGGGCTGAGGATGTGGTTTTGGAGAACACTTGACTAGCATGTGCCAAGACCCTGGGTTTAATCCCCAGCAAAGCAAACAAAAGTAAAATAAATAAATGGCATGACAAGTGCTAAATGCACTTTCAGCACTTCTCTCTGAAAGGAATTCCTCAAAAAATCTCCTCTGCCCTGAACTCAGCTCTGGGGGGTAGACAACTTGTTTGTGGTTTGGAAAGCTCTAGTAAGTGTACAATAAATATTGTTTATAATTTGAAGATAGGTACATGAATCTTGACTCCTGGACCTGGACACAGTGGCGCCTACCTGTAACTCGGGCATTGGGAGGCTAAGGATGAGGAGTCTGAGGCCAGCCAAGGCGGCATAATGAAACCCTGAAGAAAACCAAAGGAAGCAAGCAACAAAGAGAAAGGCCTAGATAACAAATGAAAACCACAAAGAAAAAACAACGAATACTTAATTCCCAGTTATTCTCTGCCCACTTCTCCCAGCTCTCCACACATAATGGAAACGCATACAACCGAGACGACCCTCTCAGAGCTTATAAGCATTTCTCTAACTTACAAAGTTCCTGACACAATTATTTTGTTGAAAGCGGGGAATCTATACAACTGGATAGGAGCCAGGCATGGTGGAGTGTGTCCAGAATCTCCATTCTCAGGAATGTGGGGAAGACACTGAATTTGAGGTCAGCCTGAGCGCCACCCAGAGTGGAGTGGAGCTCAGGGGTCCCAGAAGAAAAGAAATGAAAAAACTAAATAGGGACTAAAGGAAAACTAATCAAATTTATAGTTAGTTATGCCAGCAGCCAACTCTATTCAATTTAAGTATTCACAGACAAGTATTTAATTCAACTGACCTGCCAACAGACATTAGGTTTCTGGAGGATATGAGGTCGTTTCAAAACACACATCAAATATAGTAAGAGGGCTCCAAAGTCTTAATTTTCCCATCAATAAAATAAAGATGTTACAATGACCATTTGAAAGAGCACTCTCTAAGATTAAAGGAGACTATTCTATGAGAGAGAAAGGGTAAGAACTGCATGTCCCCCGCCCTTCCCCTCTTACCCCAGACTGTGTTCAAAGCGATTGTGAGACGCTCCTGGGAAAACATAGTAGCCGCCTCCCAGCTGTTTAATGTACCGAAGTCGCTGAAACTGAGGTGTGTCAATGATCCGGATAAGGAGAGGGTGGAACTCAATATGGCCATGAATGGGATCATTAAATACCTGGAAAATTATGTTTAAAAAGTTGTCCTCTGACCTCCACATGCCCACACTGGTGCACACATGTCCCTCCAGCACACATACAAAGAAACAACAGATACAATTTTAAAAACTACCTTTAACAGTTAATATCATAATACACTCTCCTTTTTTTTTTTTTTTAAAGATTTATTTATTTATTTATTATGTGTACAGCATATGTGACTGCGGGCCAGAAGAGGGCACCAGATCTCTTACAGGTGGTTGTGAGCCACCATGTGGTTGCTGGGAATTGAACTCAGGACCTCTGGAAGAGCAGCCAATGCTCTTAACCTCTGAGCCATCTCTCCAGCCCCACACTCTCCTTCTTACATCAAAATCAACAGTGGACATTTTATATTTTTATATAATAATTATTTTAATAACTTAATTTCATTAACAAACAGCTAAAATTTAAAAAATGATATTTTATTTATTTTTTATTTTATAAGTGTTTGCCTATGTCTGTGTACTATGTGTGCTTGGAGAATATTAACGTTTTTCATCCTGCTCTGTAAGGTCACTTGACAATTATCATAAACTACACCAAGTTTATCACCTCTAATAAAACTCAAGGAATGGTATCAAAGTCCTCAGGAAGAGAAGGAACTCAGAATATCAAAATTAAATCCTCTGGACATTCTAACTGCATAAGACCAAGTTCAGTGATCTCTAAATATTTAATCATAAACATTCCTCCTAACACAAGGTCAACCTAAGGATCACAAACAAGTGATGTGTGTGTGTGTGTGTGTGTGTGTGTATACACACACACATAGAAACAATAAATACAATTTTAAAAGCTACCTTTAATAGTTAATACCATAATACAGTCTCCTTTTGATATCAAAATGAATGGTGAACACTCTATACTTTTATATAATAATCATTTTAATGGTTGTATCTCATTAATGAACAGCTAAAATTAAAAAAAATTTTTGAGATATTTATTTTTTATTTTGTGAATGTTTGCCTGATCGCCTATCTGTGCACTGTGTGTGTAGTGCCGGTGGAGGGCAGAAGAGAGCATCAGCTCTCTTAGAACTAGTTACAGACAGTTTTGAGCCATCATGCGTGTGCTGAGAATCTAACCTGAAGAGAGTGGGCAGTGCTGCTCCAGCTCTACAGTCCCCTTAACATCTATTTATTTATTTACTCTGTGTGTGTGTGTGTGTGTGTGTGTGTGTGTGTGTGTGTGTGTGTGCAATATAAGAGTGATGGTCAGAAGACAGCCTGACTGAACTGGTTCTCTCCCAGCACGTGGGTCCTCAGGATTGAACTCAGGTTGTCAGGCTTGGTGGCAAGCACCCTAACCCACTGAGCCCTCTCATACACCCTGATGAACATTTTTAAAAAACTATTCCTTTAATGTTGAGCATTAAGTTATTGGAAATAATACCACATAATTTCGTATTCTCTTCCTAATTTTTAGTAAATACATGTGATATTTAAGTATTTTGATCACTATTTTATATTTGTTTGTTTGTTTAATTGAGACAGGGTTTCTCTGTGTGCAGCCATTGGCTGTCCTGGAACTTGCTCTGTAGACCAGGCTGGCCTTGAACTCACAGAGATCTGCCTGTCTCTGTCTCCTGAGTGCTGGGATTAAAGGCATGCGACACAACTGCCCGCTTTTGATCACTATATTATAATTGGCCATACTTATTTATTTATTTATTTATTTATTTTTGTTTTTTTGAGACAGGGTTTCTCTGTGTAGCCCTGGTTGTCCTGGAACTCACTCTGTAGACCAAGCTGGCCTTGAACTCACAGAGATCCGCCTGCCTCCATCTCTCGAGTGCTGGGATTAAAGCTGTGCCACTGCCGCCCAGTGGTCATTTTTATTCTTACTATTTTCACTTGATATAAATGACATAGTCACATGGTCTGCTTATGATTTGTAGTGGCTGCATGATATCCTGGTTTGTTACTAGCAAGCAAGATAATGCAATCCCATTAACTGTTTAGTTACTGTATTTGCCAAGCAGAGTAGGCAAGCAATCAGTCAGGAACCATATCTGCACTCTGGGAGAAACAGTAGAGCTGTCCAGAGTAAGAGGGTCAAAGCATAGAAAGAATTCCCAGCACCCACATGGCAGCTCACAGCCGTCTGTAACTCCAGTTCCAGGGGATCCGATGCCCTCTTCTGGCCTCCATGGGCATCATGTAGGAAAGTGATACATACATCCATCCAGGCAAAACACTTATACACATAAAAATAAATTAATTAATTAAAAACTAAAACCAAAAGTTTGCTGGATGTGGTGGTGTACATCTTTAATTTCAGCACTTGGGGAGCAGAGGCAGGTGGATCTCTGAGTTTGAGGTCAGTCTGATCTACATAGCAAGTTTCAGGACAGCTAGGGCTATATAGTGAGAAACTCCCTAAAAAATAAAGAAAGAAATGAAAATAAAAACTAATAAATAAAAGTTATTCTATGACTGAAGGTTATTAGGGCTTTTGTGTCAAATTAACTGATTACCAAAAAGAATATCACAGGGCTGGAGAGATAGCTCAGGGGGTAAAGACACTTGAGGCCAAGCCTCATGACCTGAGTTCCATCCCTCATACCCACATAGTGGAGGGAGAGAACTGACCTCCCAAAAGTTGTCTTCTGATCACTACACTTGGGCTGACACTTGTATACACACACACACACACACACACACACAAAATGGTATCATAAATCAAAGTTGTAAGTTATAATACCTTATGTTTCAATACCATTTGTATAAAGTAAACGCTGTTTATCTGCTCAGATTCCTTTTACCTTCATTAGCTCTATGTGAGATTGACTCAGTTCTTGGATACATGCAATCATCTTCTTCCTCTCCTCCAAGGAACTAAAATTGAAACAGTGTAAGTCAATATATTAATGCTTGACTAATAATAATCCCAGGACTATTGGGAGCATATAGCCAGCTCTAGGGTATCTATACCAATAAAAAGAAACAGTGGATTAGAAGGAAAATCAATCAACTCAAACATATTTCTAGAAACTTTCTTTGCTCCCATAACAAGTATTAGGTCACAAAGCAGGCCCCAAATGGCAATGCTGCTAACAGTGTCCTAGAATGACGGCCCAGGCCCAGCCCAGCCCAGCCCAGCTTCTTACCAGGTAAACAGAAACCTCAACTCTGAATTCCTCAGAAACTTCACAACGCAGGTTCTGTCTGATGGTCAACTGACGGGGGCAAAGTGCATCTAGTTCCCATGTAACTGAACAGCCTGCATCAGCTCAAAGACCCTCACCCTCCTGACCGCCATACAAAGTCCCCTTGCCTTTTTGCCTGGCTGCTGCTCTGTGCTCTCTGAGGCAGCCCAGCACTCTGCCCCCCCAGTAAACTGTCTTCCTACCTATGGAGTGGTTTACTTTGGTGTTTTGCTGCCCTTGCTTACAAGAAGTTCCTGCTGAACCAAGGGGGCCCACTCCTGCTCTTGAGCCCGTTCCCTTTGGACACACTTAGGCTTCATTATCTCCTCCACCTCACTTCATATTTCAAATCTATTTTTAACCAAACTGAAGTCAACATATGCTTCATAATCCTATCAATCATATCCTGATTGATAAATGTCAGGATGACTCAGGCATGAACTAGTATCTATGAAGATTTTAACTTTGTACTACATCTCCCATTATCTATAATGATCTAGCTGGGGAATATAATCATATGGGAATTGTATTTGAACAGCTCAGAATCTAATATCTCGCTTCACTTGTGATTGCTCATTGGTTGATGCATAATAGAAACACACCTGTCCTAAATGTTAACCAAAACAACAGCAGGTAGATATTGGTATCCCTGACTTATCTACTGTCTACTCAGGTTAAAAAATTTTTTGTTGTTAAAAGTCTTATTAGACTTGAAGTCAGAAGTACCACAATTGGCCTCTTTGTTGTACTGAAACAGCAATAACAAAACCTAGGAGTGATTCTCAAGATATACAGAGATATTATTAAGCTGATAAATTAAAAAGGAACAAATTTAATACACCGTAGGAGTTAGCGGGGGTGGGGTGGGGGGATTGGGGGGGTGGGGGGTGGGGTGTGTATGTGTGTGTATGTGTTGTTTCTGTAGCCTAGGCTGGCCTGGAACTTAATGTGTAGCCTAAGCTGGCCTAGAACTCACAACAGTCCTCCCAAGTACTAGGGTTACAGGATGAGCCATCATCATATGTACATTCAGTATAACAATGTTCACTTTCTGGAAAAACCTTCATAAATCAGTATTTCATCAAAAATTGAAGGAATACAGAAAGTGTTGGTCTAAACAGGATCCCTCATAAAATGCTGAGTCTAACACAAGAGCTCATACACAGAACATTTATTTGGAAGTTTATATCCTGGAAACAGGAGTTGGGGGACTAGGAAGGATAAAAGAAACAAGAAAAGCTTGACAATATAGCAGCAAGCTAGGCTATCACCACGGGCTCACTGGGCGACGCCGAGGTATCCTCCGAGGTAGCCGCCTTCCAGAACTTTCTGCAGTTACCCAAGTGTCCTTATCTGCCCTGTGTAACACGGTGGCAACTACATACAAATGGCTAGTGATCACTTGAAATGTAGACAGTACAACAGAAGAGCTAAAAAATTTTAATTCCTCCAACTGAAAAGATTTTATTTTTAATTGTGTGTCTCTGTGTGGGTCTGTGTACACGAGGACAGTCTGTGGAGGCCAGAGAGGGTGTTAGACCCAACGGAGCCGTAGTTAACAGTGTTGCTAACGGGGGGCGCAGCTTGATGTGGTTGCTGGGGACTGAGCTGGGGTCCTCTGGAAGAACAGTAAGTGCTCTTACCCTCTGAGCTACAGCTCCGGCCCTGACTTAATCAAATTTTAGATAATCAAAACATACAACAGGTGGCTACATTACAGGCTAATGCAAATCTAAGAGTCCTGAAGATTCCATCTCAGAGGCAGAAAGCAGGGTACACGACCCATACAGGACAGTAGTGTTCCTTCTAGAATTTGCCTATCTTGTTCACCTATGTGCCCCAAGTTCCCAGCAGAGTGCCTAGAACCAAACGAGCCTCCATAAATATCTGCTAAACAAGTTAATAGTATTTGGGTCTTTGAAAAAAAAGATTAGAAGAAAGGCCACCAGGTCGCAGGTAATAAGGTGATGAATGGAAGCCTCAGATGGCTGAAATGGGTATGAAAGAAGAAAAGTAAAAGTCCCTGAAGAATGTGCTCTAAAGGGCACTTTCTAAATGACAGCTAATGCCCTTTGCTGATGCTCATTCCCCATCTATTTCCGTTTTCAAGTTCTAAGCTGTAGGACCTGAAATAATTCAGAATTAGCCTTTGTTTTTATTCTTTAGTTACTGTTACCACAAACATTAACTGTTGCCAATTTTAAAGAAAGGAAAGCTACATTTTAAAGCACACATAAACACTGAATACTCAGCTAAGATCTTTAAAGGAGTTTTAGCTCTGCTTAGACCCCAGAACCTCCAGCCATATACAGAGATATCTACATGTGCGGACAAAGCTATAAAGGGATAATTATGTGCCTTAACAGTCTACATACACAGATACATCCCAGTCCTAAGACAGCTTTAGGAACTTTGGTAACTTTGACTTTCTTGCTAATCTTTTTCCTGCTGGTTCCTATATATTTCTAGTGTATATAATTCAATATTCTGAATTTGAGAGTAAAAAGTTAGTCTCTACAAACTTCATGAATGCTTGTCAGCAAAGCCCTCTGAAATAGAAACCACATGTAAAACTAAACACAAGGTCCATACAGCAGAAACAGCAGGCAAGGGATTCTGTTTAAAACATGTCACAGTATTGACCTGAGGATGGGTAAAACCCAAGATCTTGAGCTTTGTCTCTGAAAGGTGAATAAAGTATGTCTGGACTCACTGTGAATGTTATTATTCTTACCTTACTCCAAGATTTTCGAGACGAGACTCATTGAGAAAGGGCAGAAATGAACCAGTGATTTTATTTTCTATGGAAGAGGAAAAAGCAAACTCAGTATTTACAGCATATGTTTTCCAGTTTCTTTTGGTTTGAATCCATCAGAATTTACTCAACTTATATTTACTAAGAACCCACTACAGGCAGTGAACCATGTGACCTGCAGCCAGCCTTCTGTAGCCACAGATTCTTTATTTATTGTATTAATGGGAAATATTAAAAAAAAAAAAAACCTGCACCTGTACTGAACATGTAAAGACTTCTGTTCATTATTGTAGATAACATGTAAAAATATGGTACAACAACAACTGTTTACATTATATGAGGCATTACAGTAATGCAGAGATGAGTTAAAGTATACAAGTATGGGTGTACACAGGTTAGGTGCAAACACCATGTTATTTTATGTAATGGACTGAAGCATCAGATTCTTAGATACCTGCTTTGGTCTTGGAACCAATACTTCTCAGATACTGGGACACGAATGCATCATATATAATATATATATATATATATTTAAATACATGTGTACATATAATTTATAAAATACAAAATACATGAAAAATTTAAGTATTAAAAATATATAATATATTTAAATTATGTGTGTGCTGTATGTGTGTGTGCTGTAGTATGCACCAGTACTGACACACGGAGGGCATTGAGTGTCTTCTCCCATCACTCTCTGCCTATTCCTCTGAGACAAGGTTTCTTTCCTGGACCAGGGGCTTGCATTTGGGTAGGTTGGAAGCCAGCAATCACCAGCCATCCCCTTTCTGTCTACATTCCCACCTCAGTGATGGGATTACTAGTGTTGATAGGAAACACTCAGCATGTTCTTTAGGTGCTGAGATCTGAACTCCAGTCCTCATGATTATGGGCAAGCACTTTTTCAGTACAGGAGCCTGTCCTGGAACTCACTCTGTAGACCAGGTTGGCCTCAAACTCACAGAGATCCACCTGCCTCTGCCTCCTGAGTGCTGGGATTAAAAGCATGTGCCACCACCGCCTGGTGGACAAGCACTCTTAACCATTGAACTAGCTCTCCCGTCCTCCTTTTGATTTTTATTTATTTATTGTTTGTTTGTTTAGGTTTTTTGAGTCAGGGTCTCACTATGCAGCTCTAGCCATCTTGGAACTCACTATGTAGACCGGGCTGGCCTCAAACTCATAGAAATCCACTTGCTCTGTCTCCTAAATGCTGGGACTAAGTCACCATGCCTGTTTTTTTTTTTTTTCTTTCTTCTTCTTTTTTTAATGACAGAGTCTTGCCATATAGCTAGGTTGGCCTTATCTCTGAGAACCTCCAGAGTTCAAAGCTTTAAAAAAAATGTTCCCAAGGATTGAATCCAGGTCTTTGTACATACTAGGCAAGTATTTTATGACTGGGTTACATCCCCAGTCTGTACCATACTTTTGACATTCTACTTTAAAAATCTTAATTAGGTAACTAGCCTAAGACCTATTTTGATGAATCAGATGAACATTTATAAATTATTCATGTAAATTATGTGTGAGAAAAGCAATGGGAAAATTAAAGTTGCTTGTGAGGTTCTCCCAGGTCAGCAGCTTCCTGTTTTTTTGTTGTTGTTGTTGTTGTTGTTTTTCGAGATAGGGTTTCTCTGTGTAGTTTTGCGCCTTTCCTGGGACTCACTTGGTAGCCCAGGCTGGCCTCGAACTCACAGAGATCTGCCTGGCTCTGCCTCCCGCGTGCTGGGATTAAAGGCGTGCACCACCACCGCCCGGCCAGCTTCCTGTTTTTTACGTCAGGGCTGGGGAGGGGGGTGGAGAAGGACATTAAAATCAATTGTTCTTAGAACCATCAGATTAAAATCAGACTGAGGACTACCCAGAGTTTTATTTCTAAAATATCCTTTGAAAGCACACAATACTCTGTTTTGAAAGAGTTATATATACATATATCAATATATTTTTTTTCTTTCCAAATAGTTAATTCTAGCTCTTCTTGAGCTCAGATTCTATAGCTCTGAACTATTTCCATATACACAAAAATCTTTTTTCTTAACAAGAGAAAATGAGGAAGCGGTTTTCTGAAGAAATAATATAAAAAAAATACAAAATACCAATTTACTTAAGTTCAAACTGATACTTACTGCTAACATTTTGAGATAACACATTTATCTATGTACAATTATGTAGTTTTACATATAAAAGATTGTCATGCCAGGCAGTGGTGGCGCATGCCTTTAATTCCAGCACTCGGGAGGCAGAGCCAGACGGATCTCTGTGAGTTCAAGGCCAGCCTGGTCTACAAAGTGAGTTCTAGGAAAGGCGCAAAGCTACACAAGAGAAACCCTGTCTCGAAGAAAAAAAAAAGATTGTCATATAACCAATTTTTCCCACCCAATATCCTAAACATAGCTCTTCTCAATGATGAAAATCTATATTTTTCTCTATTTTAAAAAAGATTTATTTATTTTATTTTGTATGTATGAGTGTTTGGCCGGCACATACATACATGGACCACATGTGTGCCTGGTGCCATGAAGGACAGAAGAGGACACTGGATCGTCTGGAACTGGAGTTACAGATGGTTTTGAGCCACCATGTGGGTACTGGGCATCAAACCAGGGTCCTCTGCAAGAGTAACAAATGCTCTAAACCACTGAACCATCTTTCCAGCTCCATCTCTATTTTTCTTGATGGACACTTTGTATTCGACAATATATACAAATCCTAATACATTCTGTATGTGTGTGCACTTGTGTGGGGGTGCGTTCACACACTTGTGCATGTGCTTGCTGGAAGCTGGAGGTCAATGTCAGGTATCTTTCTTAATTACTCCTCTGCCTGGTATTTTTCTAAGATTTATTCATTTTTTTTATTTATGTGTATGTGTGCCTGTATGAGTTTATGTGTAAAATTCTGATAAAGTGCTTGGCCAGCAAACCTTAGGAAACTACCTGTCTCTGCTCCCTCACCTCTGGGATTCTAAGCATGCACCATTAAGCCCAACTTTTCATGTGGGTGTAGAATTCAGAACTCAGGTCTTCATGACTGAGCTATCTCCCCGGCCCCTGTTGTAAGATTTTATAAAATAAAATACGTACAGAACAGGTGTGTATGTGACTCAGTGGTAGAGTCTACACATAGCATGAACAAAGCCCTAGGTCTGATCCTCCATATTATATACATACACAAAAATTCTACCCCTCCCAAAAAAGCCTGTAAAATGTATATAGCAGTACTTCATACAAAGTATATACATAATAAATGCTACCCATCACTACCATAAGTCAAAAAGCATTGCCAAACAGTCCATAGTTGAGCTAATGGACACTTCCAGCAACTTTACTGGAATACATATTTCATCTACTAACAATCTTTTCTAATTATTACATTAAAACCCAGTATTTTAAAAATTACTATTGAGATGGAACTGCTTTACTTAAGTTTATTGGGAGGTTGTTAATGGTCTCCTGCTGTTGTTTTACTCATTTTTCTACAGGATAATTTTTTTCCCTTGCTCTTCGTTGATTTTCTAATTTTGGTTATGTTCTCCAAAGCCTTATTATGTAGTCCAGGATGGGCTGAAGACCTAAGACTGGGACCTGAAGTCTTGATTGTTTTGCCTCAGCCTCCCGAAGAGTAGGATTACAGGCATATGTTCCCCAGTAATTTTTATTGAGAACACTGGTTAAGTAATAACTGGAATGAATTCTGGAATCCAAAGACGTAACCTTTAAAAAAATCCAACTCTGCATCTTTTGCCTAGTGGTGTGACTTTGGAAAGTTACTTAACATCTTTGGATATCAAAACATCATCTGGGGTTGGAGAGACGGCTTAGCAGTTAAGAGCACACACTGCTTGTGTGTCCCCAGTACCCACTTTAGGTCACTCACAACTGCCTTTAACTCCAGCTCCAGGGGGTTGGATGCTCTCTTCTGGCTTCTGTGGGCACTGCACTCATGTGCATACACTCCCCACCTCCACTCCCATGAAAACATAATTAAAAATAAAAATAAAGCCAGACGAGGAAACTCAGAGGTTAAGAGCACTCATTGCTCTTGCAGAGGGCTCAGATTCAGTTCTCAGCACCCCCATGGCAGCTCACAACAACCATCTGTAACTTCAGATCTAGGGTGAGTTACAGCCTCTTCTGGCCTCCTCAAGGACACCAGGCACACACATGGTGCATATACACACATGAAGGCAAAAACACTCATACATATAAAATTAAAATAAAATACTGCCAGGTGTGGTGGTACATGCCTTTAATCCTAGTACTCAAGAGGCAGAGGCAGGTGGATCTCTGAGTTCGAGGCCAGCGAGCGCTACATAGAGAGTTCCCCGACAGCCAGAGCTACACAGAGAGACACTGTCTTAGCACCCCATCCCCCAAGTTACTTTTCCTGTAGAGGAGGTAGTGGGGAAGGGAAAAAGAAAAATGTGAGTTCCTACATTTAAGCTACCTTTATGTCCTGAACTTTAAACTTCTCACTCCATCACTCAATTAGTTATAAGGAGCTCTACCCCACAAGAAGTAAAGTTTACTGAATTTGCAAATCACAACCACCTAAGAGCCACATTCCCAGTAAACACTTCAGGAGATTCCAAGTGTTTGATGCATGAGCAAGAATCAGAAGAGTCACTTAAAATTCTTAGCCTGTACCCTTCCCTTTGTGTGGCCAAGTCGCGGAATGCTGGGGTTTCAGTGGTCAACTGAATAAGTTGTTCTTATTTTGGAAGAGAAATTGATAAGTAGCACTGTGCAAATACAGTCAGCACAAACTGAGCCCTACTGGGATGCTATGGTAGCCAGTGAGAATCCGGAGATCAACCAACTTCCCTCCCTTTTAGGAAAACCCCAAATTCCGGGGACGGCGAAACTTAAAAGCGCCAAAATCTCTCCTGGGGTCAAGTGTTTTGGGAGCTGCGGTTAGTACAGAAGGTAAGCCTGAAAGACCGCAAGCCACTGCCGGAGGTCCGGGGGGATTTCTAAGGGCGGAGATCTCTCCTGTCAGAAGTGACAAGTTTCCGAAGATACCCATCCACCAGAAGATGCAAACCTCCCAGGGCCCCTCCCAGGTTCGAAGCCCCCAGAGCCAGCACCTTCCCATGGGCTCGCACTTCGCCCACGCCCACCTCGGGTAGCCGGCCAGGACGGCTCGCTTCGGGGCGCCTCCCGCCTCAGGTCCGGGTTCCCGCCGCGAGCCGCTTCCCCCAGAGGCCTCCGCTCTGTGAGCCTCCCGCTTCGGATGCCTCTCGCGTGGGTCCTCCCCACTCAGCCCCTTGGTCATAATCCCTTGTCCCTCATCCCCCTCAGCCCCGTTACCTTTGAAGCTGTCCAGCACTTTCTTCTCTAGGAAGCCACATGTCTCTAAGAAGGAGCACACGTCCTCCACTTCCCAGGTCCGGAGGTCGGTGTGGAGGTCGCAGCCCGGAGACGCGTTCGCCGCTGCAGGAGGGGTGCGCTGTGGCGTTCTTGGGCTGCCTTCGCAGCGAGGCCGCTTAGCGGGCTGCTCGGGATCCGCGCTCTGCATGCTTACCTCCTCCGACACTAGGTGCAGCGCACTTAAGTAGCGCGGCACCCGGCCCACGCGCAGTCGCACTGACTGCACAGCCCTGGAGGCGAGTCCATTCAGCAGTGCCATCTGGGCCTGCTGCGCAAGCGCAATGATATGCGCTCGCGCTCAACCCTGCCCAGCCCTGTGTTTCTCCGAAAGGGCGGAGTTATTAGAGAAGCAAAACTGAGCAAGGGCAATGATGTGCGCTCGCCCTCAACCCCGCCCCTGGGTTTCTCCGACAGGGCGGAGTTATTAGAGAAGCAAAACCGCGCAAACGCAATGATATGCGCTCGCCCTCAACCCCGCCCCTGGGTTTCTCCGACAGGGCGGAGTTATTAGAGAAGTGAAACTCAGGGCTGTGATTAAGGGTGAAGGCTCTAGTAAAGACTGTGCTAGGGTAAGAGGGCACCTGGGGCTAATGAAGGTTCCACTACACTCCAGATTAAAGGGTCTTCTGGTGGACTGCAGGTACCTTCCCCTAAACAAGTACTTTTTTGCCAGGTTTCAAGTGTGAAAAATAGACCTAAAAGGCAACGAAGCTGCCAGCACCATCCCAGTGCAGAAAACAATGGGCAAGGGACTGGTCAATCCGGAAGATCCTGCTATGATTTCCGGCTAAGTTGCCAGACTGTCCTTTTTTTTTTGCATTTCACAAATTCACAGTTAGTTGGCAGCGGACCGCCCTAAGATGCCAAATTTATTTCCAAACAGACAAGATTTTCACTAATTACTAGTTAGTGTCCAAATGGCACTTATTTTCTTTTGCTTTAAGCCATTTTGGGGCAAGACCCAAACTTCCCCATAAATCCTTATCCATACATTACTAGTACAATGACCACTGCTAATAAAAAAAAAAAGTCTTTTCGGAAACCAAGACACATCTACAGCTAGGTTATTTTAACACCAAGCAGTACAAATTAGATGCTTAGTGGTGAGCTCCACAGCTGCAGGTGACATTCAGGAATAGAACACAAGCTTGAGGCTCCGTATTCAATCCCCAGCACCCAAACAAAGCAAACATGAAATCTGATGAACCAAAGTATTCTTAGCAAACAATGCTGTTGTGTTCAGGGCACTTGTTCTAAAGGATTTACAAATACTAACTCATTCAACAAATTTCAGATGTAAGAAAGTGAAGCACAAAGTTGGGGAGGAGAAGGGGAGAGGCAGAAAGGGAGAGACAGAGCTAAGAAATGGTAGACAGCATGTCCTAAAGCCCATGCTCTTCATAACTTGTCGGCCCAGAAAAACATGCTCCATCCTGTCAACAGAATACTTGGTGAAAACATCCCATAGTTGTCAAGACTTAAGAAACTGAAACAAGAGGGTAAAAGATGTGTTTATGTCTGCGGTGGCTGATTTGAAAACTGTGCATATAAGATGTGTGGGAAAGTCTTTTCCCATAGCAATCAGCAATAGAAAGTGATACAAACAGGGTTTTAAGTTTAATCAATTAGATTTGTGTGTTCAGCTTGGCTTAGCAAGATGGCTTAATGGGTAAAGGCACTAGCTGTGCAAGTGTAGCAATCTGAGTTTGAGTCTCAGACCCTATAGAAAGGAGAGAGCTGACTCTGGGAAATTGTCTTCTGACCTCCATGTGTATGCTGTGGCATGAGAGGCCACACACACACACACACACACACACACAATTTAAAAATATGCATTATTTCTCCCAAACCTCTCATTTCCAGATGCCTTTAATCTTTAGAACTATTAGTTACTGGCTCAAGGTCACATGCTGGTAACAGAGTTGAGAGTCTGTTGGTACAGGATTTCAACTTGAAAACTGACTCTTTCCAGGGTGCCACTTAGCCAACTCTAGTTCTGGTGACCTGGTCCCACTCAGTCATCCCATGGCCTGGGAAGCAGGACCTATCAGACAGGAGTCCTGCCCACCGTGAGAGGAAGTCCTGCCCAAGCTTCCTCTTCTGAAGTCCATTTTGCCATGCTTAGGAGCAGAGAGGCAGTAACATCAACTATTTTAAAGACCATTTTGTCAGTGTCCTCCCCATTCCAAGAAATTTGTCCTGGACCTCCAATTGTCACAGACCCAGGTAAATTGTGAAGTTTGGTCCTGACAGCATCAGGCTTGTGAGTTCTACATGTCTCCACAGTCGGCCATCATCACTCTGGTTCACTGTTTTACTTCCTCTTCAGCCTTCACTGAACACGCTTCCTGGAGACATTTTCCATCTATGCAAATTTCAAGGCCAAACCCCAATCTTTTTTCTTCCTTCCTCCCTTTCTTTCTTTCTTTCTTTCTCTTCTCTTCTCTTCTCCCCTCCCTCCCCTCCCCTCCCCTCCCCTCCCCTCCCCTCCCCTCCCCTCCCCTCCCCTTCTCTCTCTCTTTCTCTCTCTCTCTCTCTCTCTCTCTCTCTCTCTCTCTCTCTCTTTCTTGAGATAGAGTTTCTCTGTGTAGTCCTGGAACTGGCTCTGTAGACCAGGCTGGCCTCGAACTCAGAGATCTGCCTGCCTCTGCCTCCCAAGTGCTGATATTTTTTTTTTTAAGATTTATTTATTTATTATGTATACAGCATGTATGACCGCAGGTCAGAAGAGGGCGCCAGATCTCATTATAGATGGTTGTGAGCCACCATGTGGTTGCTGGGAATTGAACTCAGGACCTCTGGAAGAGCAGTCAGTGCTCTTAACCTCTGAGCCACCTCTCCAGCCCCCAAGTGCTGATATTAAAGGCACTGCCTGGCTCCAAATTCTTAAAAAAAAAAAAAAAAAAAAAAAAAAAAAGGAAAGAAAGTTTGTATCCAAGCATTTGTGGAGGCAGAGGCAGGAGGATCTTGAGTTCAGGATTGCCTGGTTGACATCGTCTTTCTCAACAGCTACCACACAGAGCTGAGGACATGGCTCAGTGGCTAAGAATGCTTGCTGAGCAGGCAGGAGGATCTGCATGGCTGGGCCTTGGCACATGTGTGACTGTAGTTTTGGGGGAAGGGCAGAGAGGTGAAGATAGAGGATCGATCACTGGAGCTTGCTGGCTGCCACGCTCCTTCAAGTTCAGACAGAGACCCTGTCTTCTAGGTGTAGTGCTGCACATCTTTAATTCTGGCATGCAGGAGGCAGAAGCAGGGGGATCTCTGTGAGCCTGAGGCCAGCCTAATATACACAGCAAGTACCAGACTATCCAGACAGAGCTACATAGTGAGACCTAGTCTCAAAAAAAAAAAAAAAAGGAATAAGGCAGAGAGAGAGAGAGAACAGAACTCTACATGTGATCTTCTCACCATTCGATGTGCACAAGGACATACACATGGACATGTACACCTGCACACACGTCTATATATCACACATACACAAATGGTATTTGGCTAGGGCTGGGGGGTATATCTCAGTGAGTAGAACACTTACCTATCATTTATGATGCACACACACACACACACACACATACACACACACAGAGAGAGAGAGAGAAAGAGAGAGAGAGAGAGAGAGAGAGAGAGAGAGAGAGAGAGAGAGAGATGGCTGAATCAGACATTTCATTTTTGTCTTAGTGTCTATTATTTTGAATCCTCCTAGGAGTTTCCTTGACTGGTTATTCTAGTTTTAAGTTTCTGTGGTTATCAAAGAATTTGTATTCATCAAATATGAGTGTTTACTGGTTACTTAGAATTTGCTTAGCACTGCTCTGGACAACTAGGACACATCAACAAATTATACAGACAAAAAAAAAAAAAATCCCTGCTTACTGGAATTCACATTCTACTGGGAACACCAGCAGTGAACAACGTAATTAACAATAGGAGACCTGCCTGATATGTCAGAAGCTGGTGCTGCAGAAAATTATAGATTGGATTAAGAGAGCAGGACTGGAGAAAGATTGGGACGCCATGTTGGGTAGGATAGTTGGGACAGGTCTTTGGGGAAGATGACATCGAACAGAATGAAGGAGTTATCCGTGTGGTATAGAAAGGCCTTCCACAAAGAGGAAGCAAGTCTTCCTAAGCAGAAGCATGCCTGGAGTTGCAAAATACCAAGGGTCAGAGGAGGAAGCAGTGAGAAGAGATGAAGCACGAGGGCTCATGCGGATGCAGGCATGGGCGCATGCGGATGCATGGGCGGGAGGACTCCAGTCCCAACTGCACATCCTGAGAGAATGACTTCAACAAGATGGATGACCTCCATTTTTGGACTAACCACCACTGTGGACACTCTAAAATGACTGACTCAGTCAGGTTACCTTTAACTCCTTTAGTCAAAAGGCAAGGTCTCATCCCGGTAGGGAAAGAACTTACTCTGGACAAAGACCCCAGATGCCACCATAGCCACATAACAGAGAAAGACACGAAGCTCAGAGGTGAAATGATTTACTTATCCAGGGCCACATACATACAAGGGCCCTGAAACTTACACCTAACTAGTTTTGAAATTCTTTTTCTATAACTTAAGCTGAGTAATGGCACTATTGCTTTTAAGACATTGCAGGGCCAGACTGCTCAGAGCTGGGCAGCGGCGCACGCCTTTAAACCCAGCACTCAGGACACAGAGGCAGGTGGAGCTACATGAGTTTGAGGCCAGCCTGGTTTACAAAGCAAGTTCCAGGACATCCAAAACAAAACAAAAATACAAAAATCTCATTGCTAGGAGTTAATCATATCTGACAGTTTAAACCCTGCATGGGTTTTCTAAACTCAAGTGGTCACATCAGCTTGTCTTTTGCCAGCATGGATTTGCTTGGTAGACTGAGCAACAGCAGAACCTGTCAAACTTGTCTTTGCTACAATTAGCTAGTCTAAAGGCACCAGCAGAGCCTCTGGAGGAAGTCACACTCTGTACCTGGTCACCTGTTGTCTGCTTTGTTACTGGAGATTTGCCTTTCCTAGATTGTAATATAAATGTTACGTGCATGCACAATGTACCCTTGGTACTTTTCTTTCACTTAGTACATAATTTGAGATTTATCTATGGTGCATACATACTATCTCCCTACCATCGACATATATCTCAAGAACATCTAGACTCTGCACACGAGACAAAACAAGCAGCCAATCTTGTTCAGCTGTACACATCCTTTTCTATCTCCACCTGTTTTCCTGCCAATTATACCATTTCTTTCCTCTTGTCTAAGCATAGCTCTTACTGTTAAAGAAAGAAGATTCTGGATCTAAGTATGGGTGACCACATCCTGGAACGCAGATTCAGACTGCCTCAAATACTGTGTGCCAACATGGCAAGAATTTGACGACGTTTTTAATTG